TGGCCGTCTCGGTGTTGGTGGTCCTGCTGCTGGCCATCCTGTATGAAGGTATCAAGGTGGGCAAAGCCAAGCTGCTCTACCAGGCACTGGCGAGCCTGGCCACCCCCATCAACCAGCAGCTCATCCTGGAGACAGACCGGGACTCAGCTGGCTCAGACGCACCCCCGGTCAGCGGAACCCGCCTCAGGTATGGGCGCTGCGCGCGGGGCAGGGGCAGGGTCCTCATGATTCCCCCTGAGAGGTGCGTTGGCCCGAGAGAGCAGTAGCCTCATTTCATAGAAAGGAGATTGAGGCTCCGGGAAGGAGCAGGAATTACGGACGTGGTTAGTTAGCTCTGCTCTCCTGGTGTCTGCCCAGAGCTCTCTCCATGAACAGCCTCTTGGGAGGCTCGGGACAGCTTCAGGGAACCGTGATCTTCAGAACTCTGCTGGGAGCCTCTGTCCAGGAATGGGGTGACCCAGCAGCATGCCCCCAAGTCTTACCAGGCTTCCCCAGGGATTGCTGACAGCAGTGTATCCCATGTGGTGGGGGAGGGAGGCACCCTCACCTCTTTCGTCCCCTCCCACTCTGACTGGGGAACCACTCAGGATCTCCATTCTGCCTTCTCCACCTGCAGCGTAGCCTCTGCCTCACAAGCCCGCCTGTTTTGTCACCAGCCACCTTACGTGGGCATCGCATCTTCAGAATCCCACTGCGAGGTGTTCTTGTTCCTGGTTTACCGAGGAAGGCATCTAAGTTCAGAGCAGTTCAGACATTTGTGCTAGGCCACATTTAGTAAGTGGCAGAGCTAGGAACCCATCTGTCACCAAAGTCCCATTTCCAGGGTCACGTAGCCTCCCACAGTAGATGCAGGGGTTAAATCCGCCTCTTACCCCATCAGACAAGATGGGTTACGTATCCTACCACTTTCCCTTTGCCTAGGATTCCAGGAAGCTCAGAGCTAACAGTGGAGATACGTCTTTTTACAAAGAAACTCTTGGGTTACCCATAGAAGTTATAAACAAACTGGCCATGTAACTCAGTGTCTTTCTACTTCCAGGTATCCACTCTCCATGTCCAGTTCACTACCACCATTAACTCGGTTCTCTTTTCCTCTAGGTGGTTTCTCTATCATTTTGGCCAGTCTCTGGTCCATATCATTCAGGTGGTCATAGGCTACTTCATGATGCTGGCTGTCATGTCCTACAACACTTGGATCTTCCTTGGCGTGGTCCTGGGCTCAGCTGTGGGCTATTACTTAGCCTATCCACTTCTCGGCATGGCTTAATTAGTGAGGGATGGACAGGCACCAGTGGCTGGAGGGAGCCGAGGTCCCCTCTTCCAGACACTGTAACTCAGCGCTTTTTCTTCTGGTAGCTACTGAGCTCAAGCTAGCACTTGCCCCCTGGCCACTGCAGGCACTTCCCCCCGACCCAAACTGCACAGGGCTCGGGCCAAGTCTTGTGCCTTAAAAAGGCTACTGAGACCTAAGGGAGAATGAGAGCAGAATCTCGGGGCCAGGGTTGCTAGCCTCTGACAACGCATCTGTGTAACTCAAAATTTCCAAAGATCTTCAAGACAAGAGATGGTTCTGGGTGCAGGGCATTGACCCTGGCACTGAACCTGGAAGCCGTCTCCTCCTGCTTCGTGCCTTATCTACAGGAGCATCTTCCACTGGATTTTCTGAACTCTTCTGCCTCTGGGGGACAGAAACCAAGCCAGCTCCTTTTCCTCACCTTGCTGCCTCCAGAACACATGAAGACTGCCTCTTCTGTGGATCAGGCAGACAAACCAAGATTTCTCATTTTCCTAGTTGAACTCCTGGTTAGCAATTTTGCACATTCATACAAAACGTTTAATGAAATAATTTTATTCTTGATGGATGGAAGCACCTGCTGAGACCTGTTCCCCCTTCAGGGGCAGGATTGGGGGACAAGTGACAGCTGAATGAAGGCAGAGATGCAGGGCTGTTATCAAGGCTCCTGGCATCAGACAGCAGCACCTGTAGGAGGAAAAGAGTCAAACAGCCTTCCGTCTGAGAAGCTCTTGATGGCCTTAATGCCCCTCTTCCCTGGATCCTCCTCTACGCAGAACAGAGAACTGCCATTAATAATATCCAACTCTTAATGTTCTTTACTTCCTAACTTACTGCTCACCCGTGATGCTTTAGTGGGGAACCATGGGTAAGCCACGGGGTCTCAACTGAGGACGCAGTAAGAAGAGAACCAAAGCCAGGACTGTTTACAGTCAGATGGACCATCTGGGTATCCAAGCCTCTTCACGGCAAAGGAAAGCGACCCAGGGAGAGAAAAACCACTGCTCAGACTGTCATGTCCAAGCTCAAGCACCTCATGGGCTGGAATACAAGACAGTCTTAAGCTTTGGGGGATTAAAAACAAACCCATTTTAATAAATTATATTTGTACACAGCCTGGGACTGCTCTCGTGTTTTTCCACATTCCAACAGTAAGCACGTGTAACCCTTGACCAACTGCAGGAGCCCAGGGGGTGAGGCGGCCGACAGTGCTCTCAGGCTGTCCTTGGACTGAGTCTGTGCATCTGCCATAAAGATGACAACGCCATGCCCAGGGAAACCGAGTCCTGGAACACTGTGCAGCGGGACAGCCCAGTGCCAACCTAGTGACAGCCATTCTCTCATTCAGGTAACGAGCATCCATTGGGGCCCCACTCGAAGAAGAGCAGCGGTCACACAAACTGTCCATCCCCGTGTTGGTGTGATTCTTAGCACCTTGTCTCCCTGAGGGCAGAAGCAAAAATGTGACCACCACTCTTTAAGGTACAGTAAGAAGTAACTGTCCCAGAGAGGCGTAGGCCGTGCCTCAGGATTGCTCCATGCGTTCTCCCCGGGAGTGAACGCAAGGAATTGGAGAGCCCAGCATCTCAGTGGGCGTCAGGTGTCAAATGTGCAGTGTGCGTGTGCTGATGTAGCCTTGTCAGCCCATCTGTAAGTCCTGCCTCTGAGCACTGCTGGCATGGGCGCCGGCACAGGAGAGCAGCCACCTCCTTGTCTTGATATGGTCTCATGTGATACATTCCAGGCTTTTCCAGTACCGAGGGCTTTAAAAAGAACATTTTAATCTAGGCTGCAGAGAATGATAGGCTTTAGTAGGCAGTCCATTGCTCTCACTTAACAGTCAAGTCACAGAGGGTGGTATTTTACTTAAATTTTTAAAAAACAACAGATGGCACCAGCATCCTATGTGGGTGCCGGTTCAAGTCCCAGCTGCTCCTCTTCCGATCCAGCTCTGTTATGGCCTGAGAAAGCTGTAGAATGTGGCCAAAATTTTTGGGCCCCTGCACCCATATGGGAGACCTGGAAGAAACTTCTGGCTCCTGGCTCCAGATCAGTTCAGCTCCAGCCATTGCAGCCATTTGGGGAGTGAACCAGCAGGTGAAAGACCTTTCTCTCTCCTTTTCTCTGTAACTCTGGCTCTCAAGTAAATAAATACAAGCTTTAACAACAAAAAAACAAATAAAAAACTCCACACCTATGTAGCGCTTATTAAATTGTGCCAGGCAGTAATCTAAGCACTTACAAATATTACTTATTTAATCCTCACAACAAGGTAGAAGCTATTTCTGTCTTCATCTTTGAGAAGAAGCTTGAGGCACAGATAAATAAGTCACCCAGCTGGCAAGTGGCAGAGCCAGGTGGCTTGGCCCCAAGTCTGTTTCCTGGCCATCCCTGCAGCTGCCCCGGTCAGTAACTTGGCCAAGGCCACACGGCACCCCGTAGGACAGGAAGTGAACTCATAAGGTAAAGACTAAAAAGTTTGTGTTCTTTGTAGCTCACCATAATGAGGTGACGATTCTGTCGCAGACCTCAGGAACCTGTATTTCTAAGAAGCATCACCACTCTTTCCCCTGACCCAGTGACAATCTGGCAAGGATGGCGGGCCAGAGTCCAGGCTCTGGAATCACACGGCTGGGACTTGAATTCTTGTCCTGCTGCTCCCCGGCTGTATGACATGGGACAAGTTACTTTAGCTCTCTCAGCTTCATTTTCTACTTCATGAAGTGGGGATAACGGGGTCTTCTGCAGTGGTGGCTGGCAGAGACAGTCTGTGTGAAGTGTAGGCAGCAGTGCCTTTTTATTAAACAACAAAGCTCAATCAAATGGTGGTTCTGCCTGCCTCATAGGCCCACATATGGGAGGCAGGCAAAAAGCCTGCAAGGATAATGTCAGGCTACTTGGAGTAGAATTCAGGTTCCTCTTAAAATGATTTATTCTTAGTTATTTATACTTATTTATTTGAAAGTCAGAGGGACAGAGAGAGAGAGAGAGAGAGAGAGAGAGATCTTCTGCTGGTTCTTTCCCCAAATGCCTGCACAAGACCAAAGCCAGGAGCCAGGAACTCCACCCAGGTCTCCCAGGTGGGCAGTAGGGACCCAACTACTTGAGCCATCATCTGTCTCAGGGTGCGCATTACCAAGAAGCTGGATCGGAAGTGGTTAAGTCCCAGGCACTCTGATGTGGAATCCAAGTGGCAGCTTAACACTCTCACCGTGAGAACCACTCCATCCTACTTTAGAAACATTTAAAATCAGGCAACGTTAAAATTATTCTACTTTCTGAAGACTGGTTGCAGGGTCTTTGAAGGTCTCAAATAAAGTGCTACAAATTATTTTCTCACTGTTTTCTGCATTAGTCCTGGCCTCCTAAGTTCCAAGGGAATGGGAGCTTCTCTCAAAGGGAAGAAGCTCTCCGTTGCTATGAGCAACAGGAAGTGGAAACCTTCTATGTTCTCTTCCTAGGCTGGAGGGCCAAGCCCAGGAAATGGGCCTCAGGACTGGTCTCAGATACCCACAATGCCCTGAGTCTGGAGCAGTGACTCTTTGAAAGCCTGAAAGTTCTAGGGTTAGGTGCCAAAGGACGTGTCACCAACTGTTTTTGTGCGTAACTGACTCCAATCAGTTACAACTCCTACCCTTAGGTTCCCAAAGAAGAGCACAGACAACTCTTAGAACCAGGTAAGTTCCCTGCAAGGGCTCGAGTCAAGTTTCAGTACAGACATGTATTTTAGTTTTATTAGTCTCAAATAGTCGCTGACTCCTTGTGTCAGATTTAAGGCAGAGGAAAAGACACACGTCCCAGGACTGTAGACAAAGATGTCACCAAGGATGTTAACAGAGACTGAGAGAATATCGTCTCCTCGGCTCCCCCAGGAAGCCATGCCCCCAGGTGACAGGTCTTGTTGCTAGGGCACAGCTGAGCTGCGGGAGGCCGATGGAGGAGGGCTCCCAGGTCATCTGAGAGTTACTGAAGAGAAGAAAACGCTTGAAGGGGGCAGGACTCTGGTAGGTGATTGGCTGGAGGAGAACCCATCAGCCCTTGTCCAGCTGGGGCTCGGAGGCAGGCCCCCCACGAGCTGCTGAAAACACTAGTTCTGAAGACAGGGTCATGCCGCTGCTCTTCGTGAGGCCAGGCGGGGGCTCAGACACTTGAACTATCGTCCTCAGAACGCTCACCTTGACCTCACCCTGTGGCTCGCCTACACCCAAGGCTGGCTGTGCAAAATCATGCTTAGGGAAGGAGGAACGTGGGTGGAGGAACGTTGGCACCAGTTTCCTGGGTCTTCATCCCAGCCAGTCAATGTCATCATCATCATCGTCATCTCCAAAAAGGGGTGTTGGGGGCGGGCGTCCCTTCATGCTCTGACAAAACAGGAAAGAGGAGTCAGTCCTCGCTAGTCCCTGCACGGATGGGACTTCCTGCCTGGCAGGTGAAGCGATCCGTCTGTTCGCGGCTCCAGCTTGGACAGGAGGTTGCACTGAAAGTACCGACCCTGAGGCCGGGAGAGTAAGGCTTCCAGGTAAGGCTGAGACAAGCGTGCAGAGAAGGCAGGCAGTCTTTCAACAGAGACAAAAACGAACTTTGGCTAATTCTGTCATTTATTTGTGAAGCGCAGGTATTGAACTGACAGATTTTCTTCTCATGTGGTAGCTTACATATGTGCAGAAGGGCCAAAGAGGAGAGAGGAGAGTAGGAGAAAGAAACCAAAGTAGAGCAGCCTAGGAGAGGTGTGGGGGGATGAAGGGAGTCTGGGAAGCTGGGAGGGACCCGGCCTGGCCTCAGGTGGCTCTGGACGTGGTCCTATCATTTGGACAGGGCTAAACGGAACGTAGTGGCTGGGACACATGTCCAGGAGAACTGCAGGAGACGAGGAGAGCCCAGGAACGTGGGGCTCCAGCTTCCCGCCATCCTGGGCTCGTTGGCCCCGCCTATTCTCGCTCCCTCCAACCAAGCAGGGGATACAGGGGAAGAAGGGGTCCTGAGATTCTTCCACCCTTCTCGCGACTCCTCCACCCTTCTCCCAGCCTTTTTAAAAACCTCTGGATTGGCAGGGAACAGGTACCACGGGGGTAGCAGGGAATAGAGACAGGCAATCGCTACTTAGGTCCGTTCCGCCCCATGAGCTACTGCTGACAGGGTGATTCCACGAGGCCAGGCCAACAGGAAGGCAGCGTGGTGTGTGCAGAGGTCTCTGGCTACGCCCATCGCCACGACCGACGGACAGAACGTGGATTTCTCTCCGAGTGTCACCTAAGTGATCTCTAAACTCCAACATTATGGGATTTTCAAATGTGGCTCACAGCTTCTATGTTGTCCTGGCTAAAGCTCTGGCTGGACATTTGCCAGCTAGATAACCTTAGTTCTAATTTTTAATTTTCCTGAACCTTAGTTCGCCTATGTGTAAGGTGAAACAAAAGTGCCTACCTCGCTGGATTAGTAGAGGATTAAATGAGAATGTTTGTGAAGTTGTTTTCAGAGCGCTTAAGACATAGATGTTCAGTTGATAGTATCAGTGTTATACTGAAAAAAAAAATACAACAAACCTACAGGTTCCAGCTGTATTCAGGGCACTCACTTGGGACAGTCAGTCACTGTTTTTGTTTGCTTGGCTTTTTGGTATAGAATCTGTATTCAGAATTCTCAAAAGAAAATCTAACTCTTGTGAAGAAAGGCTAACGGAACCTCTGATCCCCAAAGGACTGTGGGCAGGGGGAGGGGCTCCGGGACTCTTGTGCTCTGTGAAGCGAGGCTATGCTCTTAGTCCTGAACCCATTTCCTGCCCACGGGCGTAGTGATGACAAAGCAAGAGGGCAGGTTGAAATAGGATCCCAGATCACAGGCATCCTCCCAAGGTCATCACAAACGGTAAAACCCACTTTGGGTGACACGGGAGGGGACGGAATCTGCCCTCATGCAACCCCACATCCGTCCTTCTGTCCCTGGGATGAAGTGAGCCTGAAGCTCGTCTGTGTTCTCCACACATATTCCACACCAGTCAGATTCCCACCACGGCAGTCAAATCACCTCGTGACAGCCAGAAACATTCCAGCTCAGCACAATGGGGATGGCAGATCCAGTCCAAGCCCTATCAGCAATTTACTTTGCTGGCCTCGACTCTTGTGCTCTATGAAGCGAGGCTATGCTCTTAGTCCTGAACCCATTTCCTGCCCACGGGTGTGGTGATGACAAAACAAGAGAGCAGGTTGGAAGCAGGTTGAAAGTAGGCTGAGTATGCAGAGAACGGGCAGAGGGCTGTGACAGGAACCTGGGGCCTAGTGCAGGCTCTGCCGCCAGCCTACTCTGGAGCTGTAGGTAAATCCCCTTTCTGAGCCTCTGTCTGTGAATACAGATGAGACAAGATGACCTTCAAAGTCCTTTGCAGGTCTAAATTACAGATTTCGTAACTGATGAGGGAACACTGAGGCCTGGTATGCCGGCACAGGGCTCGCAGCCCACCATGCCTCACTTCACGGAGGAATATTCCTCTGTGGACAGAGGTCAGGATTCTTTTTCAAGAGTAAAGTGGTATCCGACCATCCCCACTATGCTTACAGAGTGGCCTCCTCCCAGCCTTAAGCCTGGTCCCACAGGACCCTGCACACAGAGTCCAAGGAGCAGGCCACCAACAGACTCCACTCCTCTTCTCAGAACCAGGGGAGAAGGGCCCCCGAGTGGCGGTGTGACGACTTGCCAGTGCCTGGGATTTCCTTACCACCTCGTCTTCGTCCTCCTCCTCAGGCTGTGCTTTGGGTCTCGGAACTTTCAGTGTTGCCCCTTTAAACAGTTCATCCTCTTCATCCCCAGAGAGACTGAGGGAAAATTAAGTCATAGAAAATGCTGTTGTTACTGCTCCGGGACACAGTACCCACCAACTGTGAGGGTCACTGGGCCACAGGGTAAGAATCCCACAGCTGTGGTGGTTACCCAGAATTCCTCCCACCTCCACTTCCACCAACTCTTCCATACTCCTTGCTGGCCTCCTGGTACAGTCAGCAACCTCCACAAACTACAGCCAGGACAATCTTTTAAAACAGTAAAGCAGGAGCCGGCATTGTGGCACAGCAAGTTAAGCCACCACCTACCAGCATGCCACACAAGCACTGGTTTGAATCCCAGTGCTCCACTTCCAACCCAGGTCCCTGCTAATGCACCTAGGAAAGCAGCGGAAAATGGCTGGAGTCATTGGGCCCCTGCCACCCACAGGGGAGACTTGTATGGAGTTCCAGACTCCTGGCTTCAGACTGGACTGGCCCTGGCCATTGTAGTCATTTGGAGAGAACCCCTCTCCCGTCCTCTCCCTCCCTCTCTGTCCCTCTCTGTAGCTCTGCCTTTCAAATAAATAAATCTTAAAAAAATAACCTAATAAATCAGACCATATTGTTCTTCTCCATAAATTCCTTCATAAATTCCTTAAAATTTGAATTGCTAAGAGCAACATAAAATCCCATGCATCCTGGCCCCTGCTTAGTTTTCCAGTCTCAGCTTAACACCACTCTCCTACTTCCTGTGTCTTCTTTTAGTTCCTTAATTGTGTCATGCCCCCTCCCACAGCAGGGCCTTTGTTACGTGCTATTCTCTTTCTGCGATCCCTTCTTCCTGCTCTTGGTATGGATGGCCCCTCTCCATCCTTCGGTGTTAGTTTCAATATTACCTTTCCACAACCCTCCCATAACCACTCTCTAAAGTAAAGTAACTCCATCTTTCTTCTCTACCATACCACCCTGGTTGGGGGCACTTACCACACTTTTATAATATATAAATATATATAATATATAAATATATATATAAATATATAATATATAAATATATAAAATATATATAATATATAAATCTTTCCCACTAGACTATAAACTCTCCAAATTCAAGAACCAAACCTACCTTTCCTACCAGACTATCACAGTGCCTACACAGAGCCTTATAATAGTTGGTATTACCAAATAAATACATGAATGGATGAATGAGTAAAGCAGATGGTCTCCGAAGAGTATGCTGGCCACCCTGGAGTAACAAAGACAACCACCACATGCAGCTGCCCTGTTCCTGCAACTATGGTGCTCAGAGGAACATACCTGGAATGCCGAGAACAAGAGTTGGGTCTGAGGGCTGCTCCCGCACCTGCAGAACCTGCCTCTGTGCCTGACGGCTCCTCAGAGAGACCCGTGGAGCTAGTGACATCCTCTTCTTTACTGCAATCTGGAGGCTGCGGCCTGTCTTCTGGGCTTTCAGGCTCTAAGGCCAGCGGGTCCCCATTTTCGGGGTCTGCAGTCAGGGATGGTCTTGGGGGGCTTTCTAGAAGGGGGCCATCTGAGGCTACTTCTCCAGTGTGGCCCTTTCCCAATGCACTGTCAGGTTCAGCTGCCATCGGGCTCGCAGCAGCTGTCTCCTCACACTCAGAGCCCAAAATAACGGGGCCTGGAGGCTTAGGTGGGATGGAAGTTGGGGGCCCTAGGACTCTTTGGGATGCGATGCAGGCCTGTTCAGGTGGAAGGGAGCCGTCTTTCATCTGCGAGAGCCCCTCTGCTTCTGAGAGCTCCGCTCGCCTTCTCTGAGCATCATCCTGGGCAGTGGGAAGGGCCTGAGGAGGCAGCGGGGCAGCTTCCTGGGCCACCTGCTCCGCTGGCACCACGGGAGCCTCCTGCTTCTCCCTACTCAAGGGTGCTTGAGACAGGGCAGAACCGGCTGAGACTGGCTGCTCCTGGGAAGGTCCCCGAGCCGGGAGCTCCTCTCTCTCTTCTTCCTCACTGCTGCTCTCTCCCTTCTTTTGCTCTTGTTCGTTTAACAGCTGAAGAGTCACCATCTGTTCAAAAGCCAAGGAGGAGAGGATGACCGAAAGGAAGCAGCAGGCACTCCCAGTTCCTCCGTCGTCTAGCACGCGGGCCATCGAGCTCAAATGACTCTGCCTCTTCCCGTCTCACACGAGTCACTGCAGGCATCCCAATTACTGACGAACGGACTGGAGCAACTTTTTATTCAGGATCCCTCAGAAGGTACTTAAGCAACAACATACCCATTTCAAAGAAACAGCAGACTGTGGCTGGCTATACCTTGATCGTATTCATGATGGTCCCCAGGATGGTCCTGCCATCGTAAGATTCCTCCAGCTCAAACTCTCCCCGCAAAGACTGGAACACCTGGTTCATGATCTTCTTCACCTGTGTGAAGACCAAGATACATGCTGCCGAATCCAAGTCATTAGGGATGAATTCAGAAACTCTGAAGAGCTTTGAAAACTATGGTGAAGCAGTGTTGGAACTCGACAGCAGGATGACCTCCAGTCATGAACGGAAACACCGAAGGCTGTCACTGGGGAGAGGACGTGAAATAATGGAAATACTCTGATGGCAGGGCTCGCTCTCAGAGGCCCCGGTTATGTGCACTCAAGACTCACCACAGACTACTGGCGGCTGGTACTGTGGCACAGCAGGTTAAGCTGCTGAGTGCGCTGGTTTGAGTCCTGGCTGCTCCAGTTCTGATCCAGCTCCCTGCTAATGCGCCTGGGAAAGCAGTAGAAGATGGCCCAAGTGCTTGGGCCACTGCACCCATGTGGGAGACTTGGAAAAATTTCCTGGCTCCTGCCTTCAGATCAGCTCAGCTCTGGCCACTGCAGCCATCTGGGGAGTGAACCAGTGGATGGAAGACCTCTTTCTCTCTGTCTCTTATTTCTCCCTATAACTCTTCCAAATAAATAAAATAAATCTTTAAAAACAAAAACAGAAACCTTAATCAGGGCCCTTTGGGGTTTGCCATCTGGGTAAGTTCCAAAGGGTTAATTTTAAAGTCAGAGAAGTGGTATATCACTAACATTAGGAAAAAAAACACCACCAACACCACAAATTGGCCTCTCTGTGAATGTGTGACCTGCACATTCAGTCTCTGCAGCTTCCTGGAAATACCAGCTCACCTTTTCTGAGGGGTCGACAGCAGCTTTAACCCCAGACAGCTGGGACTTTTTCTCCGCCAGTTCCTCTATGTGCTGTTCCTTTTGTTCTGTGAGGGCTGTGACTTGGGCCTGGAGAGCCAGACACTGCAAAACGAACAGACTGTGGCCTGGGGAACCTGCACCGCACGGGGTAGGTCAGGACACCCATGGGGAGGAGACTTGTCCTAACTATGCAGTTGGAACCTCCCATGGCTCTGCTGGGTACCATCCCCTTGAACTCCCCACTGGACCTGCTGGGGACCATCCCCCCACCCCCCAGGCCCCCACCTAGACCTGCTGCTGCACAGCATTCTATTCCCTCCTCACTCAACCTCAGCCCACCTTTTCCCAGCATGCCCCCCTGCCTGGTTTCTAATTGGGTCAAGAAAACAATGAAAAGAGGGCGGGGCAGGGAGGGGGGTGGTAACAGAGGTAAACATTCCCATTAGCAGCAAATTAATCATCTACAAGACTGCCCCCAAGATCTCTGGGTCAGTGGTTTTCAGCTGGATACTCTGAGGAAGAAAATGGCCTCCAGACCGGGACTTTCCTACCATGACCCTAGGCCATGTCCCAGCTCTCTCCTTCTCTTGCCTAATGATTCCTCCGCGTCCCAGGCTCTATTCCAGTGCCTGTGCCCAGGACACTCTACCATCTTTACCTTACCAACACGTCTTGTTCTTCCTGGCTCTGCTCAAATGTCACCTCCTTTAGAAAGCCTTCCTGGCTCACCCTTGGCACTTCCTCTTCCGAGACCCACAGCACTTAATGCATGGCTTTGTTTCTCGACTGTGAGATTCTTGAGGGCAGAGTACTTTGTATGCCCTTTCTATAACACAGTCGCTAAACACTACTGGCACCTAATACATGATTTCTCTGATAAAGAAAGGATCAAATAATAGTGGGAAACATGTTCCAGAACACTGGAGTTTTTGTCTTTTTCCAAGTCAATGACCTGTCACTCCAACTAAGGACACGAAAGGTAACTAACAAAATGGGCAGTTAAATAAGCGTGGTTTTGTTTTCCAGCTGTTACCATCTTCCAGGCTCAAAAGGATCACTGCCTCAAGTTAACTAGGCTGTCTCAGCTGGCTGGCCCAGGGCAAAGATCTACCTTTTCCTGAAGCTGTGTCAGCTTCTGTTGGTTGGCATCTCTCTGTGCACACACCTCCCGGTACTGCTGCAGGTGCTCATCCTTGGCTGAGGCCAGCAGATGCTCACACTTTGCTTCCCACTGGGTCTGGAGCTCGGCCTGCACTACGGACAGCTGCCAAGAGAAAGCAACAACCGTGTCCTGGGAGGTCTCGTTGTACCTAGAGAAGCCTGTCCTTCCTAAGCCACGTGCTAAGTTACCAGCCCAGGTGCACTTGGAGAACAACCACTTGAAAGAATGTACTTATTTTTCAAGGAAGTGACCTTTTTAAAATTATTATTTCAAATGCAGGCAGAAATGGACAGAAAGACACAGAGAGCACTCCTATCTGCTGGTTCACTCCTCAAATACCTGTGATGGCCAGGCAGGGCCAGGTCAAAGCTGGGAGCTGGCAATGCAATCCAAGCTTCCATATGGGCAGAGGGGACCAACATTTGAGTCTTCTACTGCCTCCAAGGATGCATATTAGCAGGAAGCTGGAGTCAGGAACTGCAGCTGGAAATCAAACTCACCACTCCGCTATGTTATGTGGTCATCTTAACTGACAGGCCAAATGCCTGACCAAAGTGTGATTTTAAAATGTGGGTGGGGGACCAGCATTGTGACACAGCAGTTAAGGCTACCACCAGCAACATCAGCATCCCACATAGGCATCGGTTTGTGTCCCAGCTGCTCCACTTCTGATCCAGCTCCTTGCTGGTGGCCTGGGAAAGGCAGCAGAGGATGGCCCAAGTGTTTGTGCCCCTGCCACCCACATGGGAGACCTACATGGCATTCCTGGCTCCTGGCTTCAGCCTGGCCTGCCCCTGGCCTTTGAGCCATCTGGGAGTGCACCAGCGGGTAGATGATCTCTCTCTGTCTTTCCCTCTCTCCCTGTAAATTCTGATTTTCAAATAAAGAAATAAATCTTTTAAAAAAATAAACTAAAATGTAGGTAGGAAGGTGCATTTGTTGTCAGGACTCCAAAAGGTATTCCAACCAGAGGTATGACCGTCAACACAGGTCCTGGAAGAGCAGGGCCATACTGGGATCACCACTTTTCAGTCTCCATCTTAAAACTATAGATTCAGAATTTTTTTTTTCTTTGCCCAGATTCCCAGAGATGATCGAATCCAGGGAACTGAGGCACTCTGATGAAACAGAATTTTAAACTTCCAATGAGAAACGCTTGCTGCCCAATGGACTGAAGGTCCAGCTGTGTCCTGCCGCTCTCCCTGGTTTCCACTCCTGATTACCTAAATAAACCCTTTCTTTTCAAAGGCAATAACGTGCCTGCAGGATGGCATCTGGCGGTTGAGGACTTTGGCCTTATCACGTTTGAGATTTTTGGTAAAGAGACTTTCTTTATGCTTCACTGATATTACGCTATTAATCACGTTTTTGAAAGGCAAGAAGCACCCCCACTGCGCCTGGCTCTCTACTGCACGTATGTGAATCACCTTTCCCGCCTTTCCCCAAGTGAGTGTATCTCTGCGAGAAATGTCATCCTTTCCTCTCGGAGTCCTTCCTACCTTCCCGTCACTCCCAAGCGCTTCAGCTCTCCATTACCTGCTCGGCAGCCGCCTGGTCTGTGGACACACGAGCCTTTTTCAAGAGCTGTCGGAGTTTGTCCAGTTCCTCCTGGTACGACTTGCGCATTTCATCTATCTCCTCCTCCGCCTGACAACGCTCTTGGGCCGACTTCTTCTTCCTTTCTGAGAGGTTCTTGGGAACAAGACAATGGAGATGGTAGTGATGGTGTATGTTGGCCTCTGGAAATGGTTCATTTTTTAGCTGAACTTTTCCCTGTATATTTAACATCCCTGGCTTTATAAAGGGAGAGAGAATCTGAGACGAGGAGAAGGAAAACATGAAGAGTTTTCTTTCCCACTCTAGGTAAGAGCTGGGAAGCATCCTAACCTCGGTGCAGGTACTAGAATACAGACACTCCCACATCCTCCTGGCTGGAAAACAAACGCATCCACTCTCTTTGGACAACAATCCTGGGAAAAGCCTTTAAAAATCGGCACACTCAGATAATTCACAAATTATCATATATCTTTAGGAAGTAATAAGTATGTTCATAAAGACTGTGTTATAAAGAGAGCTATTATAGTAGTGTTTATAAAAATGAAAAGCTGAAAATAACCCAAAGATCAGAAGAAAGTTTTTGGTTAGGAAAAAACTGAAGAAATTATGGAAGAAACTGCAAACACAGACTAAGATTAACACCCTAAAAATGCACTGGGCCAAAACAGCTTTACTAGTGAATTTTACTAAAACTTCAGGACCAGTTTGTTCTTTTGCATATTTAAATCACTATTATATAGAAAAAGATATAAATGTTTCCACTTAGTTCAATGGGGGCTAGTATTGCCTTGATATCAAAATTTTAAAAGACAGCAAACTAGAAAAAAAAATTTAAAATATCTGTGACAAAGTATTCATATCCTGAAGAGTCTACAATAAAACTAATATTACAATGAGAAAGAGAGTAAAGGACATTAAAAAGAAAATTAACAGAAGAAACACAAGGTATTAAATATACAAAAGTTTTACTCTTAATAAAAATACACACTAAAACAAGACAGTATATTGCGTACTTGTCAGATGAATAAGGATTAGTACATGTGAAATACAGAGTTGGGAAGAACGTGGAGATGGGACTCACTCACACAGTACTGGAAGTGCGAACTAGCACACTCTTCTTGGAGAATAACCTGCAATATTTATTTTAAAATGTGCATGTATAGCATTCTCTATCATCCCACAGTTCTAATTTAAGCAATCCATTCTGTGGGAATGCTCAAATAAATCTGCAAAAGTGGTTACATAGTATGAGGCTATCCACAGCAGCAATGCTTAAAATAATGAAAAATGAGAAACATAAATCTAAAACTAATGAATAATTAAGTAAATCATGGTACAGCCTCATAGTAGACTACTATGGAATGCTTTGAAACAAATAAGAAAAGGGTCTAGGGTTGTGGCACAGTAGGTTAAGCTGCCGCCTGTGAGGCCAGCATCCCATATGTGCACTGGTTCGCGTCCTGGCTGTTCCACTTCTGATCTAGCTCTCTATTTACAACCTGGGAAAGCAGTGGAAGATGGCCCAAGTGCTTAGGCCCCTGCCACCCATGTGGGACACACAGATGGAGTTCCAGGATCCTGGCTTTGGCCTAGCCATATGAGGAGTGAACCAGCAAATGGAAGATATTGCTCGCTCACTCTACCTTTCAAATAAGTACATTTTTTTTTTTAATGAGAAAGTATTCCTACACATAGAAAACAATCTGGAAGGATCACACAGTGTTTATAGTAGCCACCTCTAATGTATCCAATTAGAGGATATAAAGGTAAGATTTTTTATTTTATATTTTTCTGTATTATATTTGTAACAAGGAGCATACATAATATAATTCTGGAGAGGAAAACAGAAGTGCCTCTTCAACAGCTATTCCGGGACACACGGGGCCGACAGAGAAACTTTGCTTGCAGAACTTACCTTTTCTAGAGACTCCTTCTCAGCTCGAAGGTCCGTCAGTTCCTCCTCCAAGGACGTCACCTTGAGTTCCAGTTGTCTCCGACTCTGCTTTTCACTTTTGAATTTGCACTGTGCTTGTTCCGAAGTTTCTTGGAGCTCTAGGATGTGAGAGCACATAGACTACACTGCAGACCCAGAGCTGCAGGGGCTATGTGGCATCCCAGCAGCTCTGCCAAAGCCACATGCTCCCATATCCCACTCCCACCACACAGACGCCCTCCACTCACTTCTTCCAGCACCACCTCACTGACCAGATGGGCCCTATTTATCCCAGGTGGAACAGTCATCTCTATGTATGTAGCCCTTCTACAAGGAGACAAAATGTTCCAACAGTCAGAGGCCACCTTTGGAACCAAGCACTCTCACAATTCTATGTCAATCACCATCTCATCACTCTGGGCCGATCTTTGTTTAGTAATGATCTGGGCCCTTTCTCACTGCCTGGGTAAAATATTCTCAACCTTCTTTGTAGGTAGCTCTTTGTACCAAGAGCTTGCTCTCAAAACATCCCTTCTCAAATGAAGTTACTTGGGATTTTTTTTTTTTTTAATTTAATGCACCAAAATATGTTTGGGAAATTCCTTGAGGTAGCCACCACGGTGCACCACAAAAGCAGAAATGAGAAAACTGTACAGCATTGAAATCTCAGATCGCTCAGCACATGTGTGCTTCATGTGACGCTCTAACAGGGAAGGGGTGCAGATTCAAGATCTCATTCTACCAACTGACGGTGCTTTAGCTTTCTATTAGGCAAGTGTACCGTGCTTCTACCCAGTGCTATTGTGTTAGCTGTCTCCTGCCCACTGGTCCCGTTGTGCCTTCCACATTTGCTTCTACCCCCCACGGTAGACAAATCAACATACTGGTCTTCAAAACTCTTCCATCCAATCACCGTGCCTTAAGTAACACCTTTGTGCCAGGCATTGAACTAATACTAAGGAATCTGGAGGAAAGGACTTTACAAAGATGAACAAAACACTGTCCTTTCCTTCCAGGGGCTTGCAGAAAAAAGAATTAAAGGGTTTTAAGAGATAGATAAAATATTCTAGGAAAAAAAAGTGGGAAAGCTTAAAAGGCATATTTTGGAGAGGAATGGAGGCAAATACTGGTGATGGCAGGCATATCTGGGTACTCAATATGCCTAAGGAAAAGATAAAATTTAAGATAAAGGAAAGAAGCCGGCGCCGTGGCTCACTAGGCTAATCCTCCGCCTAGCGGCGCCGGCACACCGGGTTCTAGTCCCGGTTGGGGCGCCGGATTCTGTCCCGGTTGCCCCTCTTCCAGGCCAGCTCTCTGCTGTGGCCAGGGAGTGCAGTGGAGGATGGCCCAGGTGCTTGGGCCCTGCACCCCATGGGAGACCAGGAAAAGCACCTGGCTCCTGGCTCCTGCCATCGGATCAGCACAGTGCGCCGGCCGCAGCGCGCCGGCCGCGGCGGCCATTGGAGGGTGAACCAACGGCAAAGGAAGACCTTTCTCTCTGTGTCTCTCTCTCACTGTCCACTCTGCCTATCATAAAAAAAAAAAAAAAAAAAAAAGATAAAGGAAAGAGAAAATAAAAGCAGAGGAAGGAGAAAGAGTAAAAAGTACATCTAAGGAAGTGGTAAGTGACTCCAATATCACTTGATATCAATGTCACAGGCTGCTGATCTTGAACTAGACATTAAGAGTCAGCCACAACAGGGGCTGGCACTGTGGCACAGAGGATAAAGATACCACCTGCAGTGCTGGCATCCCATATGGGCGCTGTTTTGAGTCCCGGCTGTTCCACTTCTGATCCAGCTCTCTGCTATGGCCTGGGAAAGCAGTAGAAGGTGGGCCAAGTCCCGGGCTTCTGCACCCACATGGGAGACCCAGGAGAAACTCCAGGCTCCTGGCTTCGGATCAGCCCAGCTCCAGCCACTGTGGCCATTTGGGGAATTAACCAGCAGATGGAAGACCTCTCTCTCTCTCTCTCTCTCTGCAATTCTGCCTTTCGAATAAATAAGTAAACCTTAAAAAACAAGAATCAGCCACAACAAACATAAAATGGTGTAAAGCAGCAATGGGAAAGAAACAGAGTGAGGAATGGACAGCATTGTGCAGGGCAAGATGCTCCTTATCTTAGAGATCAAAGACATTGCTTGCCAGGATACAATAGCCAAAGAACCCAAAGATTAGCATAAGGCATAAGTAAGCAAGCCTCATCATTACTGGAATATGAGAAAGTAAGTTATAAAGCACTCCATTCAACCTTTCATGTATTTGAGAAAACTTAAATACAAAATATAAACTATTTCTCAAATGCAGAAAACATGAGATGAAAGAGTCAAGATTTCTTAGCTGAGGACTGATAGCCCAATGACAATGAATCCACTCCAGATAAACAGCATGACTGGGACAAGGAGAGGACAAGAGGGATCCAGAAACAGTCCATCCCCACCCAAGACCCATTGCAGTCTTTCTCTGCCACTTCAGGAACAGGTCAAAATCCTAATCCTATAAGGACTGAAGTCAAACAGTAGTTCTTTAAAATGTTTAGGAGACACAGATGAAGGAAAAAACTAAACAATCATAAACTCACTAAAAACAACCTACACACTTGGTCACCTGGCATAATGGGAATTTTCTGTTGATTATTTTCAACAAAATAAAGGCAGTTTCTAATAATCTTAAGCTATACAACTCTTACCTTAAATTACTAGATCAGTGATTATTTTTAAGTCAACTTATTACAAAACATTTTAAGAGAGAATTGTAGATGATGAATATATGAAAATCTGTTGAATAATTTCTAGTTCTCTTCCCACTGATGACAAAAATTCCACTGAAAAGCCAACTGGTATGCATGTATGCAGGGCCAGGCCTTAGCACTACACAGCCTGACCTGGGCTTTTCTCTCCTCAGTTACTTTACCTTCTCTTTCTCAGCATGCAATACTCTTGCCTGTGTGTTTTCTGTGGCTGTCTGAAGAGAGTTGTTCCTCTTCTCCATCATCAGGTTACTCTGCTCAACATACCTTTGAAAGAAACAAGGAAACAGAAAAGTTATCAAGCAAAGAATGTATGCCAAGCACAACCCAGTATCTGTTCAGCCTTCACAACACTAATCTATATTTTCATCAAAAATGATCTGAAAGAATTTTATTTGCAGGTGCCAGTGCTGTGGTGTAGTGGGTAAAGCTGCCACCTGCAGTGCAGACATCTCATAAGGGCACTGGTTCAAGTCCTGCTCTGTCGCTCCCCGTCTTCGTGGAGGAACGACACAGGACCCTGCACTGTTCTTTTGTCTGCTCGGCCCTCCCCGGGTTTGCTGCTGGTTCTTCCCGGGTTGGCTACTGTCCCTTCCACCTCCGTGGAAGGGCGGTTCCCCCTGCCACATTCCCCACTTCCGCAGGGGAGCGGCACACCGCCGGCCGGCTTTCTCGGGGCTGCACAGGTGTTCCCCTTAGATGTTCCCCTTAGATGTTCCCGGTGCATGCCGTCTCTCCCCTCCTTTATAGTCCTCCTCCGCCAATCCTAACTCGGCTGCCCACACGCCGAGTACGCTGCTCTCCAATCAGGAGCAAGTCCTACAGTTTATTAGCTGAACTGGAGGCAGCTGTGTAAAAGCTGTTTTCTTCTCTCCCAGCGCCATATTGTGGGAGAGCAGATGCATAGAATAAGTCTTAATTCCAGCAACTCAGTCCAGTCCGAACTGCTCCCCACACTGCTCCACTTCTGATCAGCTTTCTGCTATGGTTTGGAAAACAGAGGACGACGACCCAAGTCCTTGGGCCCCTGCACCTGCTTAAGAGACCTGGAAGAAGCTCCTGGCTCGTGGCTTCAGATCAGCCCAGCTCTGGCCATTGAGGCCATTTGGGGAGTGAACCAGCAGATGGAAAACCTCTCTCTCTCTCTCTGTGCCTCTAGCTCTCTGTAACTTTCCCTTTCAAATAAATAAATAAATCTTTTTTAAAAAAGCATTTTATTTTCCTTAGTTCTATAATAATCAAGTCTGGAGACAGGAACCTGAGTGATTTGCTCTGTATACTGAAGAAGAGAGGAATGCAAAAGATGTGTGATTAACAAGGCCACGAGACAGGAGAGAGCCAGGAGTAAGAAGGCTGCTAGAAAGGCGGGAGAGGAAAAGAAAGCCACTCCCCCAACCCTGCCATATGGGGCACAAGAGAAGCTGGAGAAGAGGAATACAAGAGAATGAGTTTTTCTAAGTGTGTTGTGCATGTTCTCCTGACCCGCTAAATCTTCAGGAGGATCTATAGAAAGCTTGGGTTTTATATAGTAGTCAGCGAGGTACTGGTTGAGTTCAGGTTGATAAAACACAATCAGCCCACACTGAAGACAGAAAGGTTGACAGCAGATTTTCCTAAGTATCAAAATCATGTTTACAGACGAGGAAACCAGAGGCAGTGGGAGTAAGTCACAGAATACATCAGGGGTAGAGCCAGGAGTCAAACACACAGCTGTCTTATATCACAGCCCACTGAGCTCTTTCTCAGAAGTTCCTCTCAGAAAACAGGCAATAATTCATGTGACAGGCAGGAAATAAATAGCAGAAGTATGTATGCATTGCCCTAAACAAACATGGGTATTCAAGTTGGGCCTTTATCCATTAAACCCTTCTGTCCATGCTAGCCAGGCCCCATACCTGTCATTACCTCTGATTTCGCTCAATGAGTTCACTAATCTTGTCATTCTGTTCTTCTATCCGACTGCTCTTTTCAAGAATCTCTTGCTTCAGTCTTTCATTTTCCTAAATTCAAAACATACAACGTACAATTTAATGGTCCTGAGAAAAAAGTGCCAGATAGAAGGGGATCAATTTGAACTGACAGGTAACGTTGTTAATATTATTTTCAGATGAAAAACTCTAACTTATGTTCACATAGACATAATAGTTAAAACGCCATATCAAGTGACACCCGATGCATACAAATCACTAGACACAGTGGACTGAGTGTAATTATGAAATACAGTCAAACAGCAATGTTTCCTTCTGACCCCATGGACAATGTAAGTCACTCAGACTAACTTAAGCCACAGTGAATTTTCCAACCCAGCATAGCCTGTATCACATGCTGTTTCTGGTGCGGAGGTCTTAAAGGGGAGAATGTGGGCACGATGTCCAAGCTGAGTACTCTGTCTTGATCCCCCTCACCTGAATGATCCGTTGAATGTTGCCCATAATCATGCTTGTTTCCATTGTAACTGACATGCTAGGAATAAGCGCGGGATTGCCAGCATTATGCTTCTGTAACTCCTCAACCTACAAAAGGGATGCCAGAGAGATCTCATGAGACGGTTTAAAATGAAGAAATGCAATTTACCCAAGATCTGAATGCTGTTGTGAAGGGTTTACCAAGTTTCTGAGACGATCTCTACATGTAAGCTAGAGTTTTCTCCTGCTAACTAGATCTATCCTTCCAGGGAAATAACTACTAACCACTATGTACACAGGAAACCAAAGAAGACTTTACCGATAGCTGCGGCTGCTCCCTGTTTATACCCCCATTTTCAACAGAGCCCCAACCCCGACTCAGTCACCTTAGTCATGAGATGATCCACTTTATCAGCTACTTTGCCGACAGCCATTCGAATTTCAGTGTTATGTTGCCGGGCTTCTGTCATAAGAAATGCAGCCATGTCACCTGATCCTAAACAGATAAAAGCCAGAAAGAAACTTATGATACTGGAGCAGAGGAAATGGTATGAGGAAAAGTCAATAGATCTTTTAAGTGGAGGAAAGAAACAAATGCGTACTTCTATGTACTCGGAAATGCTATAGGTGCGTTCACACTGACAGGAAAATATGTAGAAGACATGGTAGAGGCAAAAGAGTTCCGAAGCTAACAATAACTAAATCGCATCCCTGCAAAATGCACCAGGGGCCGCAGTGTGGTCCCAGGAAATACAGGTGCCCACTTGGAAAGTCACAGCACTGACAGCTCAGGTCGCCTCTCCTTTCAGCCCTCTGCATGCCAGGCATTACACCAGGTATCAGGCACACAGCAATCATGGTTTTCGTTCTCGGTGATCTGTTTGATAAAGAGATTGACATAAACAAATCATCACAACAGAGTATTCTAAGTACAAAAAATGGACTAGGGCTGGTGCTGTGGCACAGTAGATTAAGCCTCCGCTTGCCGTGCTGGCATCCCATATGGCTGCTTGAGTCTTGGCTGTTCCACTTCTGATCCAGCTCCCTGCTGATGGCCTGGGAAAGCAGTGGAAGATGGCCCAAGTGCTTGGACCTCTGCACCTGCGTGGGAGACCTGGAAGAAGCTACTAGCTTCGGATTGGCCCAGCTCTGGCCACTGCAGCCATTCTGGTAGTGAACCAGCAGATGGAAGGCCTCTCGCTCTCTCTCCATCTCTCCTTTCTCTCTCTCTAACTCTGCCTCTCAAATAAATAAATCTAAAAAAAAAAAAGTAAAAAATGGACTATGTACAAGACTCAAGTGGCATTAAGAAAAAAAAAAAAGGAAGATTAACTCTTCAATGACACACAAAGTTGGGTCTTAGAGGATAGGAGGGAGGGAGGGATGGATACCAATCAGGAAAGTCTTCACACAGGAGATAACACTTCTGATGGATGAATGAAGTTCCTTGGATGGAGAAAGTGGAGGGCTTCCAGAAAGAAAGCTGCTGCAGGAAGCCCTTACCACTTCAGAAGACAAATTATGTTGTAGGATACACCTGCTTCTTCCTAGCATTGTGCTAATACCAAAGGTGATTCCTAAGCAGAGGACAAGCTGCAGAACAAGGCAGGATGCCAACACAGTTGTTTCACAAGACACCCACACTTGCACGCGCACACAGAATATCTGCAGTTACTCAAGTAACCGTCAACCACGGCTTCGCATGGCTGGGCGGGGGCGGGGAGTGGGGGGCGGAGTGCTTAGCGAAGGGGAAGGACAGTAACTTTTCACTTTATATGCTTTCGCAGTATTTGATGTTTTCATAAAAGTATATTATTTTCAGGATTTAAAAGTTTTAACTAATCAGCTTTCATTTGAGATCCTGAACAGTCATGGCGTTCATGCTTTCTCCCAGTTTCCAACATTTTGCTCTTCTATTATTTTCTATGCTTTAGTCACTCTGACAGAGGAATTAAAAGGGAAAATGTAAAAAATATAGAAAGTAAGCATGAGGAACTCTGAGGATGAGGGCAATGTTCTAAAACTGGGTTATGATAGATGAACAACTTTGTGAGTCTCTGCCTGAAATATCTTACAAAGGGTGTACTGTGTGGCACGTAAATTACACTTCAACAAAGAAAGCTGTTAAAAAGGAAGGATGCAAAGGACAGAGAGTGACAGGAACGAAAATGAAAATAAGATGGAGGAAGGCGAGCACAGCAGGGGCAGAAGATGAGAAGTGAGGGAACTGGTCCCTACCTTGAAAATGGGGCGCCTGTGAGAGCGGTGCTGGGTACAAGGGCCGAACAGGCTGCAGCTGCGAGGTGACGGCAGATGCTGGGGGATAGGCGTAGGCCTGCATACCTGCATAGGGCTGAGAGAGTGACAAGTTACCACTGCTTCGTGAAACACGCCGGCCTCTCGTTTTTGCTTAGTTTCCTTTGGTAGAACAAAGTGGGTAAGTCAGAAGGAGACCCAGACTGGAGATGGATGAGAACTGGTGTGGCAGGAGATGAGAACTGCAGCAAAGTTATCACTGTAACCCATGGCACCTGGTCACTGGAGTCCTACCCAGAAACTAAGGGCATCTTGGGTCACTACCCAGTTCCCTGGTGACATGATTTAATTAAGTGGAAATTCATTCCCCACTATCAAGCCCATTGTCTAAGAAATTAAAACAAAGTTTTAAAATTCTGATTAGTTTCCATCGAGTTAAAGAGGAGAAGTGTTTACTGAAATCCCAAACCCAGTCCCTCAGCTTCCAAAGAATGTCTCTGCCCTGCCAGATTCTGATGCTTATCTATGTAACTAAGAGCTCTCATTTTCCTCTAAAACTCAAAACACCTCCACTGTAAAATAAAGACAATAACATCATTCCATAGGGTGGTTGTGTGGACTAAATGAAGTGAAAAAGTTCTTAATGGTTGCTAAGTTAAGTGCCTGGCAGATAGGAAATGCTCAATAAGCAGCAGCTTTTCTTTTAATGATGGTCAATTTTCCTTTAAATCAGGCAAGCCAGTTCATTTCCAGAGAGATATAACTACTACTCATCCATCAAAATATATATATATCTGTTTCATGGGAAACAGGGGAGGGAGTAAGAAGGATAAGGGTGGGACTTTTCTGTTTTGATACTCTCCATCCTAATAGGGCACAGCTCGACCACCATTTCTTCATCCTTCCACTAACAGTCACAAGGAAGTGAGCCCTCTTCTCACGGGGAGTGTTTCTTAACCATCAAGTCTATTGAGGCAGAAGAAAGAGCCTGCCAAACAGCAAACGGGCAGCAGAGGCAGGCAGGCTGTTGCTACCGTCTTCTATGACAACAGACAACAAGCTGACTTTCAGAGATTGTTTGTAGAGGATAATCACAAAACAGAGTTCAGTGGTATTTTTCATTCAGCTTCTACCCTCAACCCATAGCATCCTGCCAAGTACAGAGCACACTGTTGGCTACTGTTAGAAACAACACAGAAGATGTGAACATGTACTCCTCAACTACATATGTGAGAAAAGAAAAGGAAACACACATTGACTGGACCTGTACCACGTGCCAGGCCCAGACCTCACAGAGGCACCATGCTGTGCTTGCACTCAGTCTTTGCACAACAACCTGTAAGGTCGGCAACCCTTTGCCTCATTTAGAGGTGAAAAAGTGGTGATCCAGGGAGGGAAAAAATATTACAAGTTTTGACTTTGGGAAAACGCTCCTGCATGAATCGTTCAAGAAGAAGCGACTAACTAGAACCATAGTAAGTGACAGGTTACAACCGATATGGCTTAAAATGTTATTACCTGAAAGGACTGGGCATTTCCAGGTACAGCTGAGTGGGAATCAAGAGATGCAACTTGCATTAAGGCAGCAGAGGGTGCGTGGAGCCCAGAAACAGATGACTGGGGTGCTAAGATAAAGGAAGACATTTTCTCTGTTATCCACTCTTAGCTTCCTGGTCTGAGTCTGCACTAACCCCTTACACATCATGTTTTAGATTCGACTACTTTCCTCACCTAGCGCCCTAAAACCAGCTCTACTGTCGTCTCAGCAATGGGTGATCTCATGTGCACCTGACTCAGACCTATGATCTCATCAGCTGACAGGATGGGTAGAATAACACACAGGGAGATGTCTCAATAGCTGAGTGCAGATTTCACACACTGACAACGCTACACACAGGCCAAACACATCTCCAGGTCTGAAAACGCTCTACCCAGGACAAACTGCCAAGTTTTACACCCTGGTCCAGTCCTCTGTACTAAAACAATGCAGCTTAACAACTGAGGGCACGGTGACGATCGTTTCCATGCTGATCCCAGTTCAAGGTCACAGAGCCTCAGAGTGGTTCCTTACCCTGAGAGGTCATCTGTGGTAACACTGGGTGGGCTGGCTGAGGAGGAGGCTGGATGGATGGAGTCACCACGGGCTGCCCAGGTCCTCTCAAAGCATTCGCATCCTAGAACAGACAGGTTTTGGTTTGCTTTGCCTTTATTGAAGACTGAGGCTGACTTTTTGCCTTAAAACAGCGTTCACCACACGGTTTCTAAGCAAAGAAGAGGAAGGAAAGGCAAGCAGAAAGCCAAGAGTTTAGGGTGTGGGTTGTGGGAAGAAAGCACTCAATTATAGATTACAGTAAGAGTGCTTCTCCCTGGTAATCATACCAAGTAATTAAATACAGTTAATTTCCACAAACATTGTAAACTGTTGGTGTTTTATTGTTTGAAGCTGACAGCTCTCTAACATGTATCGTTTTCCAAACTAGCAGTTACTCTGAAACTGATCCAATCTGTTCCCACAAAGGAGAGGGTCTCCGGCTAGGAAACCCGGGGAATAATCCAGCCTCTTCTCTTCTGCCAGGTAATCTCCACAGGCCTCATGGCATTCAGTGAAAGACAGAGTAGGACTCACTGAACCTCACAGTTTTCAAAAATTAGGTCAGAAAAAAATTAGGTTAGAGTGCAATATATAAAGAATGTTCTTTTTGTTAAAAAAAGAGCATGCTATTGTTGGGTAATAAAGTTTCAGAGCACCTTCCCCCTTCCTTTTTCATAAAATCATAGCTACAGCCCTAAACAAAGTTACCCTACATCTTCTTGCTTCAAAGAACAGAAAATCTTGAGGTACAATACATAGTGACTGTGATTTGCTGAACTACAGTACAAGGGCTGAAGTCTCTGACTTTCTTTTATGTTAGAACTTCCTTTTTTCCCCTAATATTCTCTTCTGGAAAAGTCTCCCAGTTACAGATCATGATGGGTCTAAGTAAATCTAAATGTCTAGAAATAGAGCAAGAGGAATTATGACAAATTTACAAATAGTATACTGAGTTACCTTTAAATGCAATAATGTTTTGCTTGTATTATTTAACATAAAAATAACATTAAGTTTTCAAAAATTATGTTAGAAAAAAACTTACGTTAGAATGCAATATATAAAGAATGTTATTTTGTTAAATATGTTTCTTCTTTATTTTAAATTATTCTACAATGAATAAGTAACACACAAAATTCTAATAATATTACCTTATTCAAATGTCATTCCCACAAACCAGATTAAAGTATACTAATATGCCTCAGAAATCCTGTCTTCCTTTAAAATGTTAAAACTATTTAGAACTTTTCCAAAAGAAAAAAATTATAAAAAAGGAAGCTTATTTCAGAAAATTTTCTAAAGAACATCACCTTTTCTTTGTTTCAAAGTGAAACAATCCTGAAAATCAATCTCTGTTATGTGTTTCAATTAACTGTATAAAAGGTGGTTTTGGCCGGCGCCGCGGCTCACTAGGCTAATCCTCCACCTAACGGCGCCGGCACACCGGGTTCTAGTCCCAGTTGGGGCGCCAGATTCTGTCCCGGTTGCCCCTCTTCCAGGCCAGCTCTCTGCTGTGGCCAGGGAGTGCAGTGGAGGATGGCCCAAGTCCTTGGGCCCTGCACCCCATGGGAGACCAGGATAAGTACCTGGCTCCTGCCATCGGATCAGCGCGGTGCACCGGCCCAGCACGCCGGCCGCGGTGGCCATTGGAGGGTAAACCAACGGCAAAGGAAGACCTTTCTCTCTCTCTCTCTCTCTCTCACTGTCCACTCTGCCTGTCAAAATAAATAAATAAATAAATAAAATAAATAAATAAAAGGTGGTTTTATTTAATAGGACCTAACCATTAGGAAAAGAATTAACTTAAAATTGAGTTATTTTCTATCATATACCAAATCATGGATTAAAAATTTAGATCTGATTATGGAAAAAATGTTAAAATACACATGATATTTCTAATATCTGAAAATAAGAAAGTGTTCAAAAGCCAAAAGCAAGGTTAGGAAAATGATATTTTATTTCAATAAAAACGTCTGAAATTTTAAATTAAAAAAAAAAAAAAAAACACCACATTAAAAAAAAGATGGCGGGCGCCACAGCTCACTTGGCTAATCCTCCACCTGCGGTGCCGGCACACAGGGTTCTAGTCCCAATTGGGGCTAGATTCTGTCCCGGTTGCCCCTCTTCCAGTCCAGCTCTCTGTTGTGTCCCAGGAAGGCAGTGGAGGATGGCCCAAGTCCTTGGGCCCTGCACCCGCATGGGAGACCAGGAGGAAGCACCTGGCTCCTGGCTTCAGATTGGCACAGCATGCTGGCCGTAGCAGCCATTAGGGGAGTGAACCAACGGGAGGAAGACCTTCCTCTCTGTCTTTCTCTCTCTCTAACTCTGCCTGTCAAAAAAAAAAAAGTTAAAAGACATAACAGATGGATGTTTAGTAATAAGCAACACTAGGGGCTGGCATAGCGGGTAAAGCTGCTGACTGCAGTGCCAGCATCCCATATGGGTGCCAGTTCGAGTCCCAGCTGCTCCACTTCTGATCCAGCTCCCTGCTAATGGCCTGGGAAAGCAGCAGAAGATGGTCCAAGTCCTTGGGCCCCTGCATCCACGTAGGAGACCTGGAAGAAACTCCTGGCTCCTGGCTCCGGATTGGTGCACCTCTGGCTGTGGGGAGTGAACCAGCAGATGAAGACCTTTCTCTCTCTCTCTGCCTCTGCCTCTCTGAAACGCTTTCAAAATAAAATCTTAAAAAAAAAAAGAAAGAAAGAAAGAACGAACGAACGAACACTAGTGGGAAAACCAACAGTCTCCAAAAGGATCTAAACATTCACTCAACGAAGAGGAGTTGAGCACCTGCTATGGGGTTGGACATCATGGTGCCTCAGCAGTGATTTTTACTGACAACAGAGATTCTGCTAACTTAACTACTTAAAACTATGCATGTATGGTATAGCTTCCATTTCTCAGGGGAGGTGCTAATCACAGTAGAAATACACAGACTGACACCAATCTGTATCATTTTATACATAATTTCTCTAATTAGTGATTTTGGGTCAGAGGCAGAATAAGCAATCATTTCAATCAAAAGAATAGAGGACAGCAAGCTTTGTACTATTCAGATACAACCAGGTGGACGTACTTCAGTTTCTGAATCATTGGAATCCAGCTGCAGTGGAAGGATGGGCAGCATGGGCTGGCCCATTTTAGCCATCCTGGAGATCAGCTTGGCTTTGACTGCATCAGAACTCTAAAAAGAAAAGGGAAAAAAAAAAAAAAAAAACTTTGTGATTAAGCTTATTCCCTTCAGGCAGCTCTATTCCTTTGGCCCTTGCAACAAATCCTGCCAGCTCCTCTTATGTATTTGAAACCATTTCCTCTACAAAATAAGAATTAAAGACTTCTTGCACAGAAGCATACATTGGTCACAATTAATAACAGCAGTAAAAATAATTCCCTACATGTTTGGAATGGACAAAGTAGTTTCGTATGTATTACTTCACTTCAATCAAGTCTCCCCGTCAGGCATAATTATTCTCAATTTACAGATGAAAAGCTAAGGTAGCAGCCCAACGGATTGGCTCTCATGTCTGCCAGGTCTGGCTCCTCCAGCGTTGCTGCTATAAAGAAACTGGCTTAGCTGCTCTGGCTGGAGGCCAGGTTCAACATCATGAAGGTTTCCCAGGCAGTTGCCTACTTGAAACAATTGTCTGCAGAAGGCTCAACATGACCTCCCACTGACTAAGGACCTTCATGCCAAATCCCTTCAGGTCCCAGAGAGCCTCTTCCTTTTTGTAGTCAAATGAATCCTTCACAGGTTTCTCAAACAACTTCTCAGGACCAGTGAACATTCAGGAGAGCTAAATCTGAAGCCTGTACAAAAGCTTCCCTACAACACGAGGGGGGGGGGGGGTCACAATACACAAATTCCTGCTTTTGTCAGTTCTTAACACCTACCTCTCTGAATTTTCATGAATTTCTATTTCACAAGGGTAATTATTTTAGATACACTGTAATGCATTCAATGAAATACTTAACATACAAAAAGGAAACAAAAACAAAAGTAGAGATGTTAAGGTAGGGAGGTATTTCAGATGAGAGGACCCTCTCAAAAACGAACAGCAATTTAGTACAGATATTCAGAACAGATCGTGGAGTGAAGGAAACAGGATCTGCTGATTCTAAACTGTCTCATTTAACTCTGACTTCACACTAGTGATATAAAATACCCTGTGCTAGAGGTTTCTGTATCCATTTATAAGCCCAAAGCAGTCTTCAGAACGCAGGGTACCTATGCCTGAAGCGTGAGATGATCTCTGAGGTACACAAAGAAGTGTTTAACTACAAACATAAGACGTTAACTTTGTTTACATGGCCTGAGAGTATTTTATGTGCATAACTTGTCAACATGTATTGGGAATAAGTGCTCATTTTTTTCTTAACTCATGCACGTATATAAGCAAAAAAAAAGTCAGGTACTTTAAGAGAGAACCACTTCACAAACTATACCCAGAAAATGGAACACCATGATCTACGGATTTTCAAAAGATCGAGGAAGCTCTCTGTACACTAACATGGAAAGACACTGGGTTACACGTATAAAGAGAAAGATGTACAATACAGCAAGAATGCCCTTGTTTGTGTGTGAAAAAAGGGAGGAATAAAACATACATTCCTATTTGCCTGTACCTGCATAAAGAATGTTGAAAGAATATATAAGCAACTAAAAAAAGCAGGTATGAAAGGGATGTGAAATGGAATAGGAGTCCTTACAATGTATCTTGTTTTGATAATTGTATCTTACGATTTTAATTACCTATTCAAAACAAAGAGTTAAATGTAAAATGAAAAATGGTTAATTTTATTACATAAATTTTATGTAAAAAGAAAGAAAGTGGAAAAAAAAAAAGGGTTAGAGACAACTAGTCTACCAAAAGATACTGATGTTTAGAAAGAGGTAGCAAGGATAGCTATGATTAGAGAGTACAATAGAACCAAAACTCAGCAATTTTTTTTTCTTTTTTGAAGATTTATTTATCTGAAAGACAGAGTTACTGAGAGGAACAGAGAGAAAGTGAGGTCTTTTATCTGCTGGTTCACTCCCCCAAATGACCACAATGGCTGGCCAGGTTTCAATCCAGGCCTAAGCTAGAAGCCTGGAATTTCATCCAGGTCTCCCATGTGGGAGGCAGGGGTCAGGTAGTTGGGCTATCTTCTGCTGCCTTCCCAAGCACATTAGCAGGGAGTTAGCTGGGAAGTGGAGTAGCTGGGACTTGAACTGGCATCCACATGAGATGCCAACATTGTAGGCAGCGGCTTAACCCTCTGTGTCGCAATGCCAGCCCCAATACTGGACAATTTTTGTGTCTGTTCAAAGATCTAAGATTATAATTATTTAAAAAGTGTTTAAATATTCTGATTCTTTGGTTTAATCTTCCAAGTTTAGGAGATAATCTTTTATACATATTAGACCAATTATTTGCTTAATAATTCCTGTTTTGGGATGAATATAAACAAAAAAACCAGGGTTGGAGAATAAACATTAATTTCACTACATGTACCTATTGTTTCTCACTGTGACAAGTAAGAGTCATGGGGCTTTATAATTTGAAGCGGGGTAGGTTATGAAGCCAGTTAAGACACCTGAGACCTACAATGGACAGCTCCTGGCTTCAGCTTCCTGCTAATGCACGCTCTAGGAGGCATCAGGGATGGCTCAAGTAATCGGGGTCCTTTCACCCATGCGGAAGACCCAGACTGAGTTCACAGCCAGGAATCAGGAGATGAGGGAGTGCTTGCTCTCTTTCTCACTCTCTCTTTCCCTGTCCCCCCACCCCCATCTCTGTCTCTCAAATAAATAAATATTTAAAAAAAAAAAAGAAAGAAAGAAAGAAAAAGAAAAAATCTTGAAGTACTTAAGCCACCATGTGGTTCACATGCAGGAAACCCAGAACCCTTCAGGGACCAGGCAGGGCAGCAGCAAACTAGCATATACATCCTTCCTAAAGGCATTCAAGTCCAAATTTTACTAAGAGTACATAAGTGCAGCCTCTCATCATCACAGAGGCCCAACGACCTCAGACTCCGTCAACTGGTAAATTAGTGCTGAAGTCTCTGAGGGAATGGAAGCATGAAGACACGCAGAGCCAGCAGTGATCATGACAGCAACAAGAGCTAGGATTTCTTGAGTAATATGCCAGCTACAATGCTAAGAACTCCACAGGCATTATCTTATTTAAGTCGTACAAACCTCCTAAAGATGCTGAGTTGCTCAAAGTCACATAAGGTAAATCAGTTGGAGGCTAAAATTAACCACTAACATACTTCTCTTTGAAGAAGTGATAATTCTAAAACAAAGCACACTTTAATGGACAGGCTCTCCCCCAATATAATCTCATTCTCCAATAATCATAGCTACCGTTTATTGAAGACATACTATACAAAGGCTCTTGGCTTGGGACCTGACAAATATCTCTAATCCTCACAGAGACTATATAAGGGAGATGTGAGAATTATTTCCATTTGAATACTGAAGAAACTGAATCACAGAAGTTAGTTAGATCATTTTCTCAAAGCAACATGCATATAAGATCATAACTGAACCTAGCTCCATCTATGGAACACCCCGCTTACCGACACTGACTCCCAAGTAAGGGGACATGAGTGCAGTAACCAATGATTTCCAGCCTAAATCAACAGTCACTGATATTCTTTTTCTCTAACCTATCATATCCTAGGCACACGAATCCTTCTTAGCACACTGTGGGTGAGGAAGACAGACTCTTACACTTACTGTATTTATCGACAGCTGTTCACTGAGGGAGTTAGATTTGCTACGAAGAGCCGGCTCCCTGAAAGCAAATAGACATATCCTGAGATAAAAATAAAATCCTTTACGACAAGTGCACATTATAATAGATAAACAGTTTCTGAAAATATTCCTCAATTTGATGGCTGTGAAACAGAATTTTTTTTTAAAGATTTATTTATTTGAAAGGTAGAGTTACACAGAGAAGGAGAGGCAGAAAAAGAGAGAGAGAGAGAGGTCTTCCATCCACTAGTTCACTCCCCAAATGGCCACAATGGCTGGAACTGTGCCAGGAGTCAGGAGCTTCTTCTGGGTCTCCCACATGGGTGCGGGGGCCCAAGGACTTGCGCAATCATCCGCTGCTTTCCCAGGCCATAGCAGAGAGCTGGATCAGAAGTGTGGCAGCTGGGATTCGAACCGGAACCCATATGGGATGCCGGCATTACAGGCAGCCACTTTACCAGCTATGACACAGCCCTGGCCCCCAGAATTTTTTTGTTTGATTTGCATAATCTTTGAATGCCAATGAAAATTAAGAACTTTTTATCTAAATCTATTAATTACATTTTTCCTCCATGGATGGATGTTTTATATGCCCTTTGCTCAATTTTACTCCAGAGTTTTGCAGATATTCTTATCTGAGTTAGTGTTTTTATATACTATGAATGTTAATCTTTCATCAAAAACTAGATCAAGGATTTCCCCATTTCCCTGATTCTACTGTTTTATTCCAGATGTTTGAAATTATTCTCATTTTAATTATATCTTTATTTCTGAATCCCTTCAAGAAACATTTTATTGAGGTCAACGATGTGGTGCAGAGGGCAAAGCCAGTGCCTGTGACACCAGCATCCCATATTGGAATGCCAACTGGAGTACCAGCTACTCTGCTTCCAATCTAGCATCCTGCTAATGCACTTGGGAAGGCAGCAGAGCAGAGGATGGTCCAAGTACTGGGGCTCCTGTCGTCTATGTGACAGGTCACCCATGCATAAATCAGGATGGAGCTTCTGGACTCTGGCTTTGACCTGAGCCAGATGTGGCTGTCAAGGCCATCTGGGAAGCGAATCAGTGGATGGAAAAGTTCTCTGTCTCTCCCTCTCTCTCTGTGGGTGTCACTGCCTTTTAAATGAATAAATAAATAAATCTTTAAAAAATCATTTTATTAAACAATAAAAGAGTTTGATATAATCCTAGTATCTTACCCTGATTTGAAAGGCACCGATGTGGGCAGCGACACAGCAGGGTCAGCAGAGAGGCCATCAACACCAGGTATGGGAGAAGGGGCTGCAGAATCCCGGGAGCTAATGCTGTGCCCATCAGAGCCGGAATCTCTGGCAAACTTCACCTAGGGAAGGAGCCAGCACAGGTAGAAAAGACTAAAAATATCCTGCCCCTTTACATTTTATTTATTATTTATTACACAATCCATAAGGTATCTCTATGCCACTAAATATTAAGTTACAATGTTATTTTGAACTACGCAGACTATGTGTAAGCTCAAGGGTCATTCCCTTTACTGCTATGATCTACAGGACAAAAATCTCCAAAAGATTTTGGGAACATAAGTCATAAATAGTCATACTATTACAAAATATATTTTGCCAATTTCTCATTGTTAAATATTCAACTTAATTCTTTCATAAACAATGCCTCTATGAATAGCTTTCTGTCTAAATCTTTGCATATAATATTCATTATTTCCTAAGTATAAATTCCTATAAGTTATATAGTTAGATAAAAGTACGATCATTTTAATTCTTTTAATATATACCATGAAATTTCCTACCAGAGAGAATAAACTAGTTTGTACACAGTAGTATATAAATCTTTCTTAATATTCTAGCCACACTGGGCATTATCATTCTGCATCAGCCTTGTCAATTTAATATGTGTATCAATTTGCAATTCCTTGATTATTGGTAAAACCAAAAAATTTTGATTATGTTCACAAAAATGTCCATCTTGAAAGAATCAAATTGGCTTGTTATCTATCATCAGCCATTACTTCTTCAAACTCAAAGGAAAATGGAGAAAGAATATAAAAGCTGTTTAAAAAAAGAAAAGAAAAATAGGCAGCTGGGAGGAAGTCACTGGAAGAGTGCTAGGGCAGCCCCACCAAGGAAAGGGTGTTCAATTAGGAGAGTCACTGGGAAGGAAATCACGTTCTTTGTCACGGCAGGAGTAATAGCCAAAATGATGATGACCATGACCAAAACGTTCGTTCGTCCGTCCGTCCTTCCTTCCTTCCTCCTTCCTTCCTTTCTTTAACAGGCAGAGTTAAACAGAGAGAGAGAGAGAGAGGGAGAGAGGGAGAGAGAAAGAGAGAAAGGTCTTCCTTCCATTGGTTCACTCCCCAAATGACAGCTACGGCCGGTGCGCTGCGTCGATCCGAGGCCAGGAGCCAGGTGCTTCCTCCTGGTCTCCCATGCGGGTGCAGGGCCCAAGGACTTGGGCCATCCTCCACTGCCTTCTTGGGCCAGAGCAGAGAGCTGGACTGGAAGAAGAACAACCAGGACAGAATCTGGTCTTTTAATTCCTATTCTATGAGCTTTTTGTAGTCATAGAATCACTGAATTAAAAGGTACATCCATTGGGTGGGAACCACTATTTCATAGACAAAATAAGAAGCTTAGTGTGGAGACGTGATTTGCTCCAAGTCACAATCTCTAGAGCCAGGAAGAACATGAACCCTGGTCTTTAGATTCCAAAGTTGTTGCTCTTTCTGACTAGACAACTTCTACTTTAAGAAATCTGTGGGTCGGCCGGCGCCGCGGCTCACTAGGCTAATCCTCCGCCTAGCGGCGCCGGCACACCGGGTTCTAGTCCTGGTTGGGGCGCCGGATTCTGTCCTGGTTGCCCCTCTTCCAGGCCAGCCCTCTGCTGTGGCCCGGGAGTGCAGTGGAGGATGGCCCAGGTGCTTGGGCCCTGCACCCCATGGGAGACCAGGAAAAGCACCTGGCTCCTGGCTCCTGCCATCGGATCAGCGCAGTGCGCCGGCCGCAGCGCGCCGGCCGCGGCGGCCATTGGAGGGTGAACCAACGGCAAAGGAAGACCTTTCTCTCTGTCTCTCTCTCTCACTGTCCACTCTGCCTGTCAAAAAATAAAAAAAATAAAAAATAAATAAAAAAAAAAAAAAGAAAAGAAATCTGTGGGTCTGGCGCTGTAGTGTAGTGGGTAAGGCCACCGCCTGCAGTGCTGGCATCCCATATGGGCACTGGTTCAAATCCCAGCTGTTCCACTTCCGATCCAGGTCTCTGCTATGGCCTGGGAAAGCAGTGGAAGATGGCCCAAGTGCATAGGCCCCTGTACCCTTGTGGGAGACCTAGAAGAATCTCCTGGCTCCTAGCTTTGGATCGGTGCACCTCCGGCCATTGCAGCTCTCTGGGGAGTGAACTGGCGGATGGAGTACCTTTTTCTCTCTCTGTCTCTCTGTAACTCTGCCTTTCAAATAAAAAATAAAATAAATAAATTTTAAAAAATCTATGTCTCTAGAACCTGGTTTTCCAATATACTGGTGTACTTATTCATTTTACTTAACTAGCAAAGACACACTCAGAAGACTCACCAAAACCAGCACAGGACAGTTTCACTCACCCGCCTAACCTCCACCTCAAACACCAGGATGGAGTCCATTGATTGCGTCCAGCCTATCACCCCTTCAGAGCCAGCTGCGCAGGCTGGGGGGATGAAAAGCAGCCGCTTTCCTCCTTTTGTCATGCCCAGCATTCCATCTTCCCAGCCCTTCAGGAAACATCGATGAGGAAAACTCATCAGACAAGGAGATTCTAATAGGCCAAAGTGAAGTGTAGGAGCACCAGGTTTCATTTCCCACACTTTCAGCTCTAGGTACAGCTTCTAGAGATCAAGTTCAACTATCATCCCACACTATTACAAGACTATGGAGAACACAGCATCTAAACCTACTTGTTAAAGCTAGCCTATTTGGAGTTAGATGAAAAATATTTATCTCTCATAATCTTAATGACAGAAAATGGGAGAGACAAAAAATTGCCAGTAAGACAGAAATAAAACCTATCATTATTAGGCACATTTCCCCAGGTGTTGTGCCAAGTGCTTTACATGCATCATCTAATTCAATCCCCCAAATACCTCATAAAATTGATAGCATTATTCTCATTTTAAGATGATATATAAAACTATACTCTGGTTTCTCTTCAGATCATATAAATCTTTCGCCTCTCACAGATGATAAAACTAGTTCTTGTGGAAATTAATTCAGTAGCACAGGATCATACAATAGGTTGTTTTGCAAAGACTCAACACTAGATCTAACTTCAGGGATTATGACTTAACTGCTTAGGTCTATAGGAAAAAGTCTCCAAAGGATTTTGGGGAAAGTGATCATAAACAAAGCAATGGAGAAACCTTTTTCACCCCACAGATGAAATCAGTACAGCACAAGGCATACTTCCTGACACCATGATACCTACCTGCGTAAAATACTCCTTACTTAAGAAAACACCCACATAGTTGGTGTAGAAAAAACCCACATCTTGGATCCAGGTCTCCAGATTCCAATTCCAGTGCTTCTCCTGGTTTGTCACAGTTGCCTCCTACAGTGGCTGGGAAGTGCTGATTCAAAGCCACCCAGATAGATGAGAATCAACTAATTGTGACCTACTTCTAGAAGCAATGGTCTTACCCTCCTTCTCTGTTAGGCTATAGGAAGGATGTAATAATTTCCTGAGAGCCACAAGATGAAAAAAAAGGGTGGGAACTTCAGAGAACAAATGTACCCATCTTCAGTATAGCGTCTCATAGGTAACGACCTCTCAAGTTCGGATAAATGCAACACATTTTCCCTCTCCAACTTTTCAACCAAGCATTTCCGGACTCTCAGAAGATACACATAGGCTAAAAATGCCACAAACTTTACTCTGAATTAAGCCCACTGCAACTGGTATAAAACTGCACAAAAACAGCTTTTACCTTGATGACTTTTCCTGATCCCAATTTTAGGCGAAGCAGCTTATCTTTGTTAGCAGTAGAGTCAAAAACCTGCAATTTCATCAAAGGAAATGAGGTCAGCCAATTTAAAAAGCAGAAATAAGTCATTCTGATACTCAACTAACTATATAGCAGCCTGGTATTTCTGGACTAGAGAATATCATATATAATAGAAAAATAGTTTGGCTGGCACTGTGGCATAGAAGGCTAAGCCTCCGCCTGGGGTGCCAGCATCCCATATGGTTGCCTGTTCAAGTCCTGGCTACTCCTCTTCTGATCTAGCCCTCTGCTTATGGCCCAGGAAACCAGTGGAAGATGGCCCAAGTGCTTGGGCCTCTGAACCCATGTGGGAGATCCCGATGAAGCTCCTGGCTCCTGGCTTCCAATCAGCTCAGCTCCTGCCATGGTGGCCATCTGGGGAGTGAACCAGCAGATGGAAGACCTTTCTCTCTGTCTCTCCCTCTCTTTGTATGTAATTCCACCTCTCAAACAAACAAAAATTTTTAAAAATTTAAAATAGTTCGTAAGGGGCCAGAAAAAAAAAAAAATGGGACTACATCATGGCTTAAAGGTGCTGTCACATATTTCTGAAACAATTTCCCAGATTCAGGGGGAAAAATGCACTTCTACCATTATATTATATTCAAATACATTAAAAATATATTTAAGGGGCCAGGGCTATGGCATAGCAGGTTAAGCCGCCACCTGCAGTGCCGGCACCCCTCCCCCCCCAATATGGGCACTGGTTCAAGTCCTGGCTGCTCAACTTCCTATCCTGCTCCCTGCTAATGCTCCAGGGAAAGTAGTGGAAGATGGCCCAAGTCCTTGGGCCCCTGTACCCACATGGGAGACCTAGTTAAAGCTCTTGGCTCCTGGCTTTGGCCTGGCCCAGTCCTGGCCATTATGGCCATTGGGGGAGTGAACCAGCGGACTGAAGACCTTTTGTGTTCTCTCTGCCTCTGCCTCTGCTTCTCCCTCTCTGTAACTCTTGCAAATATATATATATATGTATATATATTATATTTATATATTTTTATATATAAAGATTTTTATTTATTTATTTATTTATTTGAGAGGTAGAGTTACAGACAGTGAGAGGGAGAGACAGAAAGAAATGTCTTCTGTCCACTGGTTCACTCCCCAAATGGCTGCAACAGCCGGAGTTATTCCGATCCAGAGCCAGTAGCCAGGAGCTTCCTCTAAGTCTCCCACATGGGTTCAGGGCCCAAGGACTTGAGCCATCTTCTACTGCTTTCCCAGGCCACAGCAGATAGCTGGATGGGAAGAGGAGCAGCGGGACTAGAACTGGCGCCCATATGGGATGCTGGCACCACAGGTGGAGGATTAACCTATTGCACCACAGCACCAGCCCCAATAAATATATTTTTTTAAAGTGCATTTAAACATGTTTCATCTATAAAGAATTTTCAAAAATTATTTTGTCTGGGGATGGTGCTGTGGCCCTGTGGGTTAAAGCCCTGGCCTACAGCACTGGCATCCCATATGGGCGCTGGTTTGAGTTCCAGCTTCCTATCTGGCTTCCTGCTAATGCACCTGGGAAAGCAGCAGAGGATGACCCAAATACTTGGGCCCCTGCAACCATGCGGGAGACCCAGAGGAAGCTAATGGCTTCTGGCTTCAGATTGGCTCAGCTCTGGCTGTTATGACCAATTGGGGAGTGAACCAGTGGATGGAAGACCTCTCTCTCTCCCTGTCTCTGCCTCTCTCTGTAACTCATTCAAATAAATAAATCTTTAAAAAAATTATCTCATCTGATGCTAACACCAATACTGCCCAGTAAGTAAAGTAAGGATTATTAATTTCCACTCACAAATAGAATAAATGATTCAATCAAGATCAAAGTAGGAAACCTGAATGGGACTTGAATCCACATTTCATAACTCTTAAAGATCTTTTGACAATTTATATTGCTTTTGAAAGTTCAATAGTAATAAAATATAACTTGTTCAACATATTGACAGAAACTACGAGGATGGTCTACAAAGAAGTTGTAAGACCTAATCCATTAAGAATACATTCAAACTGAAAACTAGTATAGAGGACAAGATATACACATGAACAATTAGCAAAAATGATATCTGGGAAGTAGATTTCTACTTTGCCTAAGCAGAAGAGATGGAGTTGCGCTGAGCAGACTTTACACATTAGCATTTCATGGAGATGCTCTAAAAGCAGTGTAGTGACTAACCCAGTGCTCCCGAAAGATTTCTGACAATAGCAGAAATATATAGTAATATCTTCCACGTGAATATCTTTCATGCTATTTTAATTTCAAAAGAACTTGTAGAGTATATTTTCTTACCTGGCCCAATGCATTATTTTGGAAGAACCAGCCAGTGTAGGCCACTTCCAAAGAATCTCCAACTTCTATGGCAGGGCCTTCTGCCACAACAAGGTCCTGGGAGAGCACTGCATCCAAGGAAGGGGTGCTGTTGCACTTGGCAATGCAGACCTGTAAGACAAAACATCGAAGCAGAATAAATTTAGCTTAAGCTCAGTTAAGTTCTCATTCTGTTATTGCTGTCTTTCCCAAACAGCTGTATACACTAACGAAATAGATTAGATGTTTAGAAGAAAAACCATTCTAAGGAACCAAAATTCTTTAGAATATGGCTTTGTAGTCATAACATCTGGGTGTGGATTCAGGCACTGCCACTTACTAATTTTGCAACATTGACCTATGTACCCAAGAGTCTCCATTTTTAAAACGGAGACAAAAGCTTTTCATATCTCATAAAGTACCTAGAAAATCAAATGAGCTTATACAAGTAGAGTACTTGGCAAGATACCTGTGAAATAACAGTAAATATTCAACGAACATTAGTTATGATTACTATATTGATTTCCTGTTTCAGCATCTGGGAAACTATGAAACAAAGTGGAGCTTCTAAAAATTGCAAAACGCACTTCTAAAGACAACACCCTCTTGCATTCCCAGAACCCACATTACCACCACCTACAAATGTGATCATACTACCTTAGCACAAACCTTAAACAAGAGTCTTTCTGAAGTCATACTTTCTAAAGAATTATTCTATACTCTATGTTTTAATATAGTATACATAGAAGCTTGCTATTTATTTTCTTTAAGTTTCATTATTGTAATCGAATGCATGCTAGCTAAAACAACATTACATCACTTTTTATCAAGCAAGACTAAAAGAAAAATGGATCTTTTTTTTTTTAAAGATTTATTTATTTATTTGAAAGCAGAGAGGGAGAGACAGAAAGCTCCTCCATCCACTGGTTAACTCCCCAAATGGCCACAATAGCCAGAGCTGTGCCAATCTGCAGCCAGGAACCAGGAATTTTTTCCCTGGTCTCCCACATGGGTGTAGAGGCCCAAGCACTTGAGCCATGTTCTGCTGCCTTCCCAGGTACATTAGCAGGGAGCTGGATCAGAAGTGGAGCACTTGGGACTTGAACCAGTCCCCATATGGATGCCAGTATAGCAGGTGGCAGCTGTATTCACTACACCACACACAGGCCCCCCAAAATGGATCATTCTAAATGCTGGCAAAGAGTTAGTGAGAATTGATATGTGTGTGAAATAGTACAATCTTTCTGAAAAAAAATTATGCCAAGAACGTAAAAATCTCTTGACCCTTTGAGCCAATCATTCACTACTAGAAATAAAATCTAAGGAAATATGTAGGGAACAAAGGACACAGACTTATACCAAGGTACTTCTAAAAGTTCGTGGAAGATGGAATTAAAAGATGCTTATTTTGATGTAAAAATATTCTGAAACTCATACATAGGAGGAGTCTTTAAGACATGGAAAATACGTATTATGAAAGAACCATGGGGGGCTTGCAGCCCAGCTCAGTTCAGCTGCCCCCGGATTCCCTGCTGTGTGTGGTGGGGCAGCTCAAGTTGGAGCTGGCGGAGAGGACCAAGGGCTTTCAGGCAGATGCAGAGCTTCAGTGACACAGCAGGCGGGATGCCCAAAGATGCCCTGCTGCTGGTGTTCCACCTGGAAGCAGCTCCTTCCCAGAGCCCAGGTCCTGTGCTTTCCCCTGAACGCTGTGGGGAAGGAGTTCACAGAGGAATGCCTTCGAGCGCCACATCATGAATGACTGCCTCTGAATCTCTAGAAAACTCTTCTCTGTAGCCAAAGGACTTTTTATATATATATATAACTTTTTACTTATATAAAGCAAACAAACTTCATATATTTCATGAAAGAGCATGATATTTTTTCCCACCCTACTCTACTTCCTCCTTCCTTTCTTATTTTTCTTTTTAAGTTTATAATGGCATATTTTCAACTTACTTTATAATCACAAGCCTAACATGACATGGATGAGAAATTCTGCTGGGAGATGGAAATACTAAAGATAAATCAAATTGAAATATTAGAAATTAAGAATTCAACATGTCATATGAAAATACAGTGGAAAGCCTTAACAACAGACTTGGTGAGGCAGAAGGAAGAATATCTGAGCTAAAAGACAAATCTTTGGGGGCCGGTGCCATGGCTCACTTGGTTAATCCTCCGCCTGCAGCACCGGCATCTCATATGGGTGCTGGGTTCTAGTCGCAGTTGCTCCTCTTCCAGTCCAGCTCTCTACTGTGGCCCGGGAGGGCAGTGGAGGATGGTCCAAGTGCTTGGGTGCCTGCACCCGCATGGGAGACCAAGAGGAAGAACCTGGCTCCTGGCTCCGGACTGGCATAGCTCTGGCCGTAGCAGCCATTTGGGGAGTGAACCAACGGAAGGAAGACCTTTCTCTCTGTCTTTCTCTCTCACTGTCTAACTCTATCTGTCAAATAAATAAATAATAATAATAAAAAAGACAAATCTTTGGAAATATCTGCCAGACCAATAAAAAAAATAGAAAATCAGAAAAAACAAATAGTATTTGTGAATTACGAGATACCATCAAATGACCAAACATACATGTCTTTAGATATTTCAGACCTTCCCTGTGGCCTGGTCCTACAGAAATGAATGAGTTTCTACTCAAATAAGGAAACTGAACAAGTCGAGTTTTAAATAATGGTTTGATTGTTGTGGTGAAGTTCTTTATACTAAGACAAACAAAACCCTTACCACATATTATACCTCTTCCATAAGTGAATGACTGGAGTTCCTATACTTGGAATATTATATATGCTTTATGTTCTGGATATTTACATTTTAGGAAGGAAAAAAGTTATTTATTAAAACAGTTAAGTATTTGTAAGATGTTTATACCATAATAAAATTTGTTATTTTCTCATCTTATAATCACTAAATAAAGATAAGAAAGTATAAAGTTATGGGGCAGAGTAGGCTTTACTAATCAAATGATATCTTTTTTATTGTTACTATAGAGTTTATCTTATACAAGTTATGTAAAAATGATACATGCTTATTACAAATAAGTCCTATAGTACTGAAAGGCAAAGAAGAAAGTAAAAAATTCATACAACTCATATTTCCTAGATACAACCGATATGAACATTAAATACCATTTCAAAGAAACCATAGTTGAATACCATAAAGAATACAATTTTCTCTATGTAATACATATAACCATATTTCATTATTTATAAAAAATTAAATATATATAAATAATAAGTATTTAAGCTAGATGTCTACTTATGCATCTTCTCTAGCCCACAAACTAATAAACTTCTATCAAAGACTATCAAGAAAGGATTCTCTTTCTGTGAGCAACAAGTGAAATAGAGTGATGGCATCTAAATTTATAGTTTGATGCACAGCTCATTTCAATAAATCTTTGATGTTGCTGGCATAAAACTGCAAAATAAGGAACCCATCAGGTATTAAGAGAAGGCACAGGCCCCAATTAATAACAGCCATCAAGCTTCATATACCCAGACACTAGCACTGATTTTTCTAAGTGAGAAGATCGCTTTTTTTAACACGAAACATAGGAGACTTCACTTAGCAAACATGTTTGGAAGGATTAATGTTACATTGTATATTAGGTTATCTCATTTTGTGTATGAAGCATATTTTACCTTTGTCTTCTTTTTTTAATTTTTTAAAAAGATTTTCCTGTTTATTTGAAAGGCAGTTACAAAGAGAGATCATCTGCTGGTTCACTCCCCAGATGTCTGCAATGGCCAGGGCCAGCGGAAGTCAGGAGCCTAGAATTCCATCCAGGTTTCCCACATGGGTGGCAGGGGCCCAGGCACTTGAGCCACCTTCCGCTGCCTTCACGGGTACTTTAACAGGGAGCTGGGTCAGAAGCAGAGCAGCCAGGAGCTGAATACGGGATCCCAGGCAGCAGTTTAACTTGCTGTGCCACAACAGCAGTCTTTGTCTCCTTAAGTTCCTTTCCATTATAGTTTGAGTTACATTTTTAAAAGTTATTATACCATTCCATGCCTTTAAAGAAAGTTTAAAGTGTGAACTACATACAGATAGCATTTAAAAAGTAATGTGACAGGGCTGTGTGACGGGGCCGGTGCTGTGGTGTAGAGGGTAAAGACGTCACCTGCTGTGCTGGCACCCTATATGGGTGCCGGTTCAAGTCTTGGCTGCTCCACTTCTGATCCAGCTCTCTGCTATGGCTTGGGAAAGCAGTGGAAGATGGCCCAAGTGCTTGGGCCCCTGAACCCGCATGTGAGACCCGGGCAAAGCTCCTGGCTTCAGATAGGCTCAGCTCCGGCCATTGCGGCCAACTGGGGAGTGAACCAGCAGATGGAAGACCTCTCTCTCTCTCTCTGTCTCTCCTTCTCTCTGGGTAACTTTCTTTTTTATTTTTTTTTTTTTAAGGATTTATTTATTTATTTGAAAGTCAGAGTTACACAGAGAGGAGAGGCAGAGAGAGAGAGAGAGAGAGAGAGAGAGAGAGAGAGAGAGAGAAAGAGAGGTCTTCCATCTGATGGTTCACTCCCCAGTTGGCTGCAATGTAGGTGGCAGGGGCCCAGGTACATGGGCCATCTTCTGCTGCCTTCCCAGCCAATCGATGGGAAGTGGAGCAGCTGGGACTCCTGGCTTCAGACAGGCCCAGCTCTTGCAGTTGTAGCCATTTGGGGAGTGAACCAGTGAATGGAAAATCTCTCTTTCTCTCTCTCTCTCTCTCTGCCTCTGCCTCTGCCTCTGTAATTCCACCTTTCAAATAAATAAGTAAATCTTCAGAAAAAAAAAGTTGCTTTTATATTGAAATAAACTCACTTTTAATTCCATTTTTCCATGAACATTTTGACATATCCTCACATTCTCATTTTCCTGAAACCATACAATAGGCTCAAGCAACAAATTTAATGGATATTTTTATGCTTGTCATTAACAAATACAGCAGAATATGAGTTTCCCATATGTTTTCTAAAATTAAGGGAAATCCAAACGAGTGTTCTGGCTTTTCACAGGAAGAGTAATGTGGTATTACCTGTTTATTGAACTCCACCGCATTCTTTTCAGACTCAAACATGATGGACCAGTTTTGTCTCTGGTCATCATAAAAGGTGCTGTAGTTATTGGGCCGAACCTGGGGAAAGGAAAAATGTTGGGATGATTCAACCATGAGCGGCACAGCAGGTAAATATGACTGCCCTAACTCACAGAAAGGGACCTTGACTCAGGTGGACCCCAAAAGCGGTTCCAGGGACATTTCTTCCTCTCCAACACCCTCCATAAACCACCCCTTCATCCACATTCCCAGAAAGTGACAAGAGACCATTCTGAGTAGCTCGGTTAGATACTCACACTGACACCCAGGGCTGAAGCAGTGGATCTAATGTCCATCAGACATGTTCACACCAATCTCTCCTGTAAGCCTATCCCAAAGGAGCTATGGATCCAACATGAGGAAGTCTTACCATTAGCTCAAAGTTCCGATGAATCCTAGCAACAGTAACCGGCTGCTGCTGACTGATATAAAGAAGAATCTTATACTGTAATCAAGCAAACATGGCAAAAAAAAAAAAAAAAAAAAAAAAAAAAAAAGAGAGAGAGAGAGAGAAAGAGAAAAGAAGTTAAAATGCAACCCAAAATCAGCAAAACATATCAAAGGTTGTGTTTCATACAGTTATAAAATCAAAAACTCTGTTCATCCCTTATATAGCTCAGATTTTAAATTATACCTTCTCACTATTTTAATCTTACTCTTTTTAAAAATTTTAATTAATTTATTTGAGAAACAGAGAGAGAGAAAGAGACAAGCAGACAGAGACAGAGACAGAACTCCCATCCACGGTTTACTCCCATAATGCCCACAGTGGCCCCAGCTGGGCCAGGTCAAAGCTGGATCCAAAGTTCCCCCACTTTCAGGGTGTATTTTAATTTTACTGTGGTATATGTGTACATATATACATGAATATGCTTTTTTAAAAAATTATTTATTTGGAAGGCAGAGAGACAGAGAGAGAGAGAGATTTTCCATTTGCTTGTTCACTTCCCAAATGCCTGCAACCAGCTGAAACCAGGAGCCCAGAATTCAATCCAGTTCTCCCCTGGGCTTGGTAGGGACCCAGGTACTTGAGCCATATATATGCACACATATACCACAGTAAAAATACACCCCAGAAGTGGGGGAACTTGAGGGTTATTATGCAACCTTTTACAGGAAAGGATTTTCTTTTTCGTATGTTAAATAGAGTGATGGGCTGATCACCTCGATTCAATTACAGATGGAGCTGGTCAGGGAAGGATCATAGATCCATTAAGATTAAGTCTTGGGCTTGGGCTTGTGCTGTGGCATACTAGGTTAATCCTCCGCCTGCGGCGCTGGCATCCCATATGGGCACCAGTTCTAGTCCTGGCTGCTCCTCTTGCAGTCTAGCTCTCTGCTGTAGCCTGGGAAAGCAGTAGAAGATGGCCCAAGTCCTTGGGTCTCTGCACCCGCATGGGAGACCCGGAAGAAGCTGCTGGATCCTGGCTTCAGATCGGTGCAGCTCCGACCATTGTGGCCACTGGGGAATGAACCAACGGATGGAAGACCTTTCTCTCTGTTTCTCCCTCTCACTGTCTGTAACTCTACCTCTCAAATAAATATATAAAATCTTTAAAAAAAAAAAAAAAAGAGTAAGTCTGGGGGCCGGTATGTGAATAGTGGATAAAGCCGCCACCTGCAGTGCGGGCATCCCATATGGGCGTCAGTTCGAGTCCTGGCTGCTCCATTTCTGATCTAGCTCTCTGCTAAAGCCTAGGAAAACAGCAGAAGATGGCCCAAGTCCTTGGGCACCTGCACCCGTGTGGGAGACCCGGAAGAAGCTCCTGGCTCCTGGCTTTGGATTGGCCCAGCTCCGGCCATTGCGGCTGTCTGGGGAGTGAGCCAACGGATGGAAGACCTCTCTCTCTGTCTCTACCTCTCTCTGTAACTCTGTAAAATAAATAAAATAAATCTTTAAAAAATTATATTAGACATACTAATATTTATAATAAAAATTGTATGTTGGAGACTTGTTCAAAATAATCTGAGTGAAGAAAGGAGGAGGAGAAGGTGGGGTTATAAATAAAACAAGATTAATAATTGTTGGATCCTAGCAATCATCTTCTAACACAAGAGGCACGGGGCAGGCCCAGATTTAAAACAAAGCAACCAACCAGCTCCTTGGTAATATTGGGTCACCTGAACATGCACAAGCTATGCGGGCATTCTCACCTCTTTGGCTGTGTGGTTTCCCAGGACTGCAGCACCAAATTTGCCCTGCTTTACATATTGACCATTAGTGCTATGGAAGCAAGAAAAATAACAGGCATTAATATTCCCCTACACTATGCAGAGTCAGCTTTCCTTTGTGGCACACAGAAGTGACTCATCCAGTCATTCTGTCTCCAGAAAGGAACACGGGTGAGCAGTTTATAGTTGAAACGTATAGTTCTTTACTCTTTAAATATCTTTGTCTATGGAAGAGGTAAGTAACCTCTCTGCAATGAACAGAGGCTTTTTGAGGAAATGTATGAGTTTAACCTCGCTGCCCTCCATAAAACTTCAGAAAGCATTCCCTGTCATCCACTTACTATCGGTAGGCATGGACTGCTGTTGCAACCAAGAGTGTGGAAGTGCCGGTGGTGGATGGGGCTGTTTTTGGTGTTGCCTGATTTCCTGAAGATGAAGAAGAAAACAAAGTTGTCATTAGTTGCTTGCTTGAAACTGATTTTTAACAATTAAAGTAGCTTCAAAATTCCTCTTCATGTACCTTATAATTAGTGTTGCAATGTTTTCATGACAATTCTCCCTACCTGATCTATAAAATTGAACCCCTATGATCTAGTGTGGGGTTGAGGAAACAGGCTCCAAGCACTCAAGTACCTTATACACTAATAGTAGCAAGCCTGGGATTAAAACTCATGACTCCAACTCCCAAACCATACACCTCAAACCAAAGACTTTGGGCTGGACAAAAAGCATTATCAAGAAAACAAGGCCATAATCCACCTAATTTCTTCTAATACTTTAAAAGCTATAATAAATAAAGTTGTTGTCCTTTCCCTTACTTCTAGGGTACAAAGTTTAGGATGACAGGCACAAATTAGGATGACTTCATAAACTGACACAGAGTAACAATAATGTTTTAAAATAGTACATAAGATGCATATATTTGTACTCACTACCTTAATGTGATGCAAGAGTAGTAGATAATATTAACACCAACATAAAAACTAAGAATTTATTTTCAAAAGCACTCTTTTGAAACCTTTTTTGTATAACTTTTTTTTCTAGTTTGAGTACAAGTGCATTGTAGAAAACTTAGAAAAATACAGAAAAGCATAAAGAAAATAAAAATGACTTGTGACCCCAAACGAGCCAGTTTTTGTCAACATGATAAGGTAGTCCGTTCTTTTACAAAAAAAGTAATTTTGAAGCTTTTTCTTGTTTCGGCTTTCTTTAGCACTTCTTTGTCTATACAGTCAGCCCCAGCTCTCTGTTAACTCCTTGGAACATTCTATTTTAAGAAGGAGGTGTTGCCCAATTCCTGCAAATAAAAGCTAATTAAGGACTTAAAACCAAATTTGTTATCATTTTGTCTTCTGACTGCCCTATTGAGGTGACTTAGGGTAGGGTTGCTGAAAAGCCTCAGGATGCAGGCAGTCACTAGGAAGACCAAGCCAATACAGGAGTAAGGGGTTCGGACTTTGCACTCAACCACGAACCTCCAGGAAAGGGAGCAAGGCGCCGGACATCAAGCTCTATAAAAACTCCTGGACAATGAAACCTGACCAGCTCCTGCATTGCTGAACACGTGGCGGTGCTGGCAGGATGGTGTACCCAGAGACAGCATGGAAGTTCCATGCCACTCTTCCCCAAGACCCTGCCCCATGTATCTCTTCATCTGGCTGTGCATCTGTTATCTTTATAAAAAAGAAGCAAACATAAGAGAATATTTCCCTGAGTTCTGTGAGTTATCCCAGCAAAGAAGGAATTATGAGACCCCAGTTTGTAGCTAGTAGTTCAGAAGCCAAGGTAGTACAGACTTGCTTCTGAAGTAGGGCAAATCTTATGGAACTGGGACCTCAATCTGTGAGACCTGACACTGTATCTAGGTAGACAGCATCAGAACTGAATTCACTGAATTACAGGATATCCTGTTCTATGTGCTGGAGAACTGATTGGTGGGTTGGAAAAACCTTACACACATCTAGGGTCACAGAAGCATGTGGTAAGGGAATAAAGAGTAAGGGGAAAATGGTTTGTTTTTCCTCTTATGTGGGATATATATATATATATATATACACACACACACACACACACACACACACAGAGTACTTGTTGCAATTATTCAACTCTAAACATCTTGATAAACCTTCAGTGCCAACACAGTGACTAGCATGTGCAAGGCACTAAATACTTTCATGTTCATTCCACAAATATGAATTCCATGTCTCTCGCCACATGATTTTGCACAGGGTTTTTATTATCAGTTCTTTAATCGTATACAACAAGCAAAACATAGAGGCAATAAAAGATATGGAGTCAGATTAGGGTTCCAATTCCGACTCTGTTACTTCTATACCACCTTGATTAAGCTCCTAAAATTCTCTGGGCCTGTAAAATGGTGGTGGTTTCATGAGTTTAAAGAATTGTTGTGAGGACAAAGCAAGACAACCCTTTTAAAGCACCTGAGACCAGACAAGGAGCAGCAGGTATTTTGGAAATACTAGTTGCTCTTCTTTCTCCTTTCATTTAACAAATGTTCATTCGGTGAATTTATCATGTGTCTACCACAATAAAGTTTCAGGCTTAAAGCAATACGTGTCATGGTCTAGTTGGGAAAAATTCACATGGTATACAGTTAACCCATACAGGTATAAGAAGCAAAAAGTAGTTCTCCCTTCCTTTTTTCTTTGCTTTTTTTTTTTTTAAGATTTATTTATTTATTTGGAAGGCAGAGTCACAGAGAGGCAGAGGCAGAGAGAGAGAGAGAGATCTTCCATCTGCTGGTTCACTCCCCCAAATGGTCACAACAGCCAGAGCTGGGCAGATCCGGAGCCAGGAGCCAGGAGTTTCTTCCAGGTCTCCCATGCAGGTGCAGGGGCCCAAGGACGTGGGCCATCTTCCACTGCTTTCCCAGGCCTTAGCAGACAGCTGGATCAGAAGCAAAGCAGCTGTTTCTCAAACCGGCTGCCCATATAGGATGCTGACACTGCAGGTAGTGGCTTAACCTGCTATGCCACAGCCACCCCCACCCTTTTCTTTTTTTGTAAAAAAAAAAAAAAAGTATTTATTTATTTGAGAGGTAGAGGTACAGAGAAAAAGGGGAAGAGACAAAGAGAGAAAGAGAGAGATCTTCCATGCACTGGTTCACTCCCTAAAAGGCCGGAGCTTCTTCTCGGTCTCCCAAGTGGGTGCAGATGTCTAAGCACTTGGGCCAGCCCCTGCTGCTTTCCAAGGTATATTAGCAGGGAGTTGGATTGGAAGTGGAGCAGCCAGGACTTGAACTGGTACCCACATGGGATGCCGGCATCACAGGCAGCGGCTTTACCAGCTATGCCAGCATACTGCCCTCTAGTTCTCCCTTCTTATCAAAACATTGGACAGGGCCAACTAAAGAGTGCCTTGGACAGTAATCCACAGGGGGCAGAAGAGCTTGCTTACAATATTCTCCATCATTTCCCACACTATCTTGCTGCTGGAATTCAGGATCCCAGAGCTTAGAGAGGCACCTACCACTGGTGGTGAGCTTAGCCAGACTGGCCAAGGTTGCATGACCTGGCACATAGCTTTTGGCAGACTAAACTGTTAAGTCTAACTACCAAACTAAACTGTTAAGTCGCAATACTTACATCTCTTAACGTACCTGCTGTTGCTGTTCCATGGCCTTTCTTAGGCTGTTTTGGAGCTGTGTACTGGAAGAATTCATTGCCATGGCCAGCAGCTGCCTGGTCCAGTCCAAAAAGAGAAGCCAATCTGGTCCTGTTCAAAAATGAAAATGAAATTTCATTTAATATACTCCAAGTCTGGAATCATTATAAAAGCTGCTCACCTGGCACCAGTGTTGCAGCTCAGTGGGTTAAGCCACTGCTTACAATGCCAGCATCCCATATGAGTGTTGTTTTGAGTTCTGGCTGCTTTGTTTCCAATCCAGCTCCCTGCTAATGTGTCTGGGAAGGCAGGCAGCAGAAGATGGTCCAAGTGCTTAGGTCCCTGCCACCCACATAGGAGATCTAGATGGAGTTCCTGGCTCCTGGCTTCTGCCTGGCCCAGCCCGACTCTTGTGGACATTTAATGAGTGAACCAATACATGGAAGATCTCTACTACCAACCCTTTCTTTCTCTGCTTTTCACATAAAAATGAATAAATCTTAAAAACAAACAAAGAAGAAAAAAAAAACCCTGCTCACCTCTAACCTTGAACAAACAGCTCCTTGACTATATGTCAAGATTCAAGGGGCTGGCACTATGGCTTAGAGGTTAAAGCTGCTGCCTACAGTGCTGGCATCCCATATGGGCACTGGTTCACGTCCCGGCTGCTCCACTTCCAATCCAGCTCTCTGCTATGGTGGCCTGGGAAAGCAGTGTAAGACGGCCAAAGTCCTTGGGCCCCTGTACCTGAGTGGGAGACCCAAATAAAGTTCCAGGCTCCTAGCTTTGGATTGGCTCAGCTCCAGCCACTGCGGCCATTTGGAGAGTGAACCAGTAGATGGAAGACTTCTCTCTTTCTCTGCCTCTGCCTCTTTGTAACTCTGCCTTTCAAATAAATAAATCTTTTTTTAAAAAAAAGATTCAATACAGGAAGTAGCAGCTAAAGCCCTTTAAAACAAAACTGTATTTCTAGTCTGAACATAATAAGCTGACTTTGCTCAGCCATAGGACATTGGCCAAAGTGCTTCTTCCTTCTGGACTTCAGCTCCTCCACCTATAAACTGAGGTTATTAGTCCAGATGCTTCCTGTGGTTTCTTCAAACTGTAAATTTTTGCTTTTAGAAAAACATGGCTTCTAATCATCTGAATGGGTTATTCCCCCTTCCTATCATTTCATCTAACAAGTGGCGACATTCTTTTCTCATCTCCTACAAGGAATTTTAAGCCTCACCATTCCACTAAAACTCGTTTTGCTAAGGTCACCAATAATCCCTTTGTTACTAAACTCAGTTTAGGGGCTGGTGTTGTGACAAAGCAGGTTAAGCTATAACTTTGAAACACAAGCGTCCTATATATGGGTGAGCTGATTGAGTCCCCTCGATTCTGCTTCCAAGCCACTCACTAAAAGCCAAGTACCATGCACTTAGCAGGCATTTACATATTTCTTTATTTCAAAGTTACAATGGGAGCAGGCATTTGGCACAGTAGTTAAAATGCCCACTTGAAATGTCTGCATGCCATACTGGAGTCCTGCTTTTATTTCTGATCCAGCTTCCTGCTAATGTGCACCTTGGGAGGCAGTGACGGTGACTGCTCAAGTGCCTGGGTCTCTGCTACCCATACAGAAGACCCAGAATGACTTCCAGGCCTCCTGCCTTCAACCTGGCCCAGCCCTTGGTGTTGCGGGCATTTGGAGAGTGAATCAGCAGATGGAAGACATCTCTCTGTCTCTCTCTGACTTCCACATAAGTAATTTTTTTCTAAAAAGGCACGGTAGTAGAGAAAGGGCTAAGCTCACAAACAACCAAGCAGAGAAAAATTATGCCCCCCTAGTAACTACTTCTACACTATCTGGAATCTTGGAAGGCAGATTCTATCAGTCATCTGGAAAGCCATCCCAGGCACTGCTACCCTCCCTTCAATTAGGCTTGAATATCCTAAACAGAATACAGTCATACATTTAAGTCAAGAGACAAGAACATTCAGGAAGTGGATTTATAGTAAATTAGAAAAGAGGAACAGAGAAGCAGCTGCAGTGTTCACTGTCATGTGTTCTACTTCCTCAGAGAAGCCATGGGAGGAATAGCTAAATCACCAGCTCAGAAAACGTGCTATATTCTCAATCTTAACTTTGATTCCACTTTCCTGGTTATTGCTGAGAACAATAAATAATTGTCTGCATCACTTTCTGTGCTAAGTCTTTTATTTATCAAATTAGCCTTTATCTATGCCTAGGAGCCCAGTCACATGTCTAGGGTTAAAAAGTGTTAGGTCCTTGGTAAGCCTGCTCAAGAAAGCAAAAGAGATGAGCCACCAAGAACTTATCTTGGAGGGGCGGGCATTTGGCACAAAGGTTAAGATGCCGCTAGGGGTGTCCAAATCCCATATGGAGTGCCTGCAGCTTTGCTCCTCCACTTCCAGCAAATTCCTGGCTTAAGTGCTTGGGTCCCTGGCTATCCATGTGGGAGATCTGGGTTGAATCCTGGGATCCTAGCTGCAGCCTGGCCCAGCCTCTGCTGCTGTGGACATTTGGGGAGTAAACTAGTGGATGGAAAGTCTTTCTCTCTGCCTTTCAAAGAAAATGAGAAAAATAAAAAAGAACTTATCTCGATCCGGGGATCTGCAAAAGAGCACCTGACTGTCATCTACCCTGTAATTTTCATTAAGCAGTGGAGTTCCGATGGATGAGAGTTGGAAGCCCTAGCGTTCCTTTTCACAAAGCAAAGAATGCAGATTTTAAGTGCACTTCACATTCAAAAAGTTTTCAAAAGGCCCAATGCATGCAGGGAAGCTGCAAATGATTTGGGTATAACAGGAAGAAAGAAACAAGCACTGCTTAACTCTAAAATGAGCAACTGAAAGAATTGAAAGTGGAACCAGGTGGCTGCAGACAGCAGGGGGACAGGGTGGCAGGGAATGTTGAGGGTGACAAAACTTAAAGATACATAATACAGAGTTAGTCAGTGAGTGTCAAAAGATCTCGTGAACATTTTTACATTCATTTTATTTATTTGAAAGGAAGGAAGGGAGGAAGGGAGGGAGGGAGATAGGGAGAGAGTGAGAGCCTGCACTTTCATCTACTGGTTCACTCCTCTAAATGCCCACAACAGCCTCAGCAACCCGATCCAGGTCGCCCACGTGGGTGGCAGGGACCCAGCTCCTTGACTTGAGCCTCACGGGCAGCCTCCCCAGGCGCACACAAGCAGGAAGCTGGAATCAAACCAGGCCCTCTGATCTGGGATAAGCTCATCCCAAGCAGTGTCTGAACCACTAACACCCAATGTTTGCCCAAAAGATATCATTTAAGGCCAAAATAGAGCCATTTTATGGTCACTCATGGATTGAACTCTCCAATAGGTCTGCAAAATGAGGGCAGGCCCGGTGACTTAATCGTCATTGGAACCTTTTAGCATTCAGGAGAATGAGGGATGCATGCTGGGGCATTCATTCACCGTTCTTCAGGACATTCAACACGCACAAAACTTCTTGAGCAGGTGTTCAGACAAAGTCCCTGCAAGGATTAGAGCTTGGCCGCCCACAAAGCAAGGTGCCCACTGCTAACACAAGGAAAAGAGCTACACTGACTATTTAAAGAGATTAACGCCCTATCCTTTGAAGGTTTCTACCCCATGGGTGTATATAATGTTTGCAGACAGGGGATAACAACCACAGTCTCCTCCCATTCGCTTTAAACTTCAGGGTTTACTAAGCGCAAATCCACCACCAGAATTCGTTCAACAAGCACTGCCTAAGCACTCACTACGCCAGGTACCACGCTGAGCGCTCGACAGGGACGAACTCCACATGCAGGTTTCTGTCCTGTCAGGGCTCAGAATCTGGTAGGTTCGGTGTGCAAAGCTAGATACAAACACGCCCCGCCGTGGGAATAAGGAAGAGAGAGCAAGTCATCCTGCCTTCTGCGGAGAAAGGAAAGCACACACACACACACACCAAAAAATGACATCCAAGCTAGGCTTTGAAAAATGCTGGCTCTGAATCACCCAGAGCCTAGGTCCAAAGTGGCACTGCCTTGTCCACGGGGAATGGAACGTCTCATGTTGTCCCCAGCTGACTCCTGCGAGGCAGGCAGGCTCATCAACACCCTCAGTTCACTGGAACAACTATGACCCAGAAAGCAAAAGGCGAACCCCAGGGTCATGATTGTGTCGAGGGAGTTGTCCAGTCCAGAACCCAGATCGACAGACTCAGCACAGCTGTAATCTCTGCCCAGATTCAGAGACGTGCAGAGGACCGTAATGTGGCAAACCTCTGGACCCGGAAGTGGGCAAGAGGCCCGAGCTCAAGCCCCTCCAACCATCCGCCGGTCTCTCTCAGCCATGTCCTCTGGTGCATGCTTCTCAGCCACTCACCCGCCGGTGGGCGACAGGAAGTCAGTATCGTCCTCGTCCCCGGCACCGAACATCGCGTCGGCTTTCTCCCAGCTATCTCGGAGAGCAAGCCGAATAGTCCTAAGTCCTGTCACCACTGATGTCGCAAAATGCCGCGGGGGCGTGCTGCTTTCCGGCAGGGCGAACTCTCGCACGGTTACTTGGCCGAGAGGAGACTAGACTCTGGGGAAGGTGGGGCAAAGGCAAATGAAAGGTTCCAGTGAGCACGAGCGTCTCGTGACGTAAGGCCTCTCCAGCCCGCACGGAGGGCGGAGTTCGGAAGTCTCGCGCCGGGATTGGTCAGAGAGGCCGGGGGGCGGGGCAGGGGCGGGAATCCGCGGCCTCTGTGGCAGCGGTGGACACGTCGAGCCGGGCAGAAGTGGAGGGGGCTTGTGAGGAGTCGTGAGGGGTGACGGGTTAAGGTTCTGAGAAGGAGGCTTCGGTGGCGGGACCCGACCTGGGAAGGTAAGGCCTCCTCTACCCCCTCTCTTACAACCCTATCATGGGCACCGTCCTTTCCTGTCCTGGCCAAGGACCCTCCGCGCCTCTCTCCTGAGCTCGGCGGAGAACGAGCCCAGGACTGGAATTCTGGAGGTCTGAGCTTTGGCCTGGCCCCTGCAGCCACAGAACCGGAGTGACCTTGGGGCGCCGTGCGCGGTGCCTCAGTTTCCCCGGCTATGCAACGGGTCGTTTGTCCAGTGCTGCCATGTGCTAGCTAGCCAAGAAGCTTTAAACCTCAGACAGAGGCCATGGAATTCAACCCCGATCGCCCCATAAGCCGAGAATTTCCAGTTAAGGGAACGAAGACAGTAAGCTTTTGAGGAGTGACTGGCCTGAGGTCACGCAGACTAGAGGGGAGACGGAGCCGGATGCTGGTCCTTTGATTCCGGACTCAGCGAGCCGATGGGTGAGCGAGCACCTCACCAGCCCTTACGCACTGCGTGCCCTTCCTGGGTGGTTATTGCTAGACTGTGGCATGCAGCTTGGGGAAAGTCCCCTTGCCAGAGTCACCTGTATTCCACGCAGGTGAGGTGCGGGAGAGCTGCGGTATTCTGCGTGATGGGAGGGGGAACGCTTTGGAGGCAGCCTTGGCCTGGGGTTTCCTAAGTCTTCCTGTGACAGTCGAAGTCAACATCAGTCGCTGCCTACTCCGGCGCCTCCAGTTCCCACCATCTCTGTATGTTGCACAAGTCTGTCTTTGGTTAACCTGGTGTCGTTCTTGGCGGGTAGGGCCGGCTTAGCCGAAGCGCGAATAAGCCGACCGTGGCCCGGTGCAGCACCCATTTCCACGGGTATCGGTGGAGTTTTTTTACTCAGGGCTTCTAGATGTCCCTCACCTGAAATGGGAGTGAAGTGGTTAGTAGGTAGCTCCCTCCCCAGGGACTTTGTACCTCTTGCCACTTCCCCTGTTCTGGTCTTTATTGTAGTTTGTATAAAACTCAATTGCAAGTCTCCTTGACCATAATAGGGTCTGATTGATTCTGTTAGTGTGTGTGTGGGGGGGGTATTCATCCTTGTTCTCTTATTCCTTAACTGACTCCCTTAGGATTTTTCTCCCTTGCGACCCAGAGCCCAGAGATGGCTCTTACCCTTTATAAGTAGCTTCCAGAAAGTAAAAATGCCATACTGGCTGTGAACCATATGCGTTGCTTGGTCTCCTTTGTTAATTGAAGGTGATTGTACTGTGGTCTAAAGCTCCAGGGGAGGGGGCTAGGAGAGCTAGAAATATCATATGCAACTATAATCTGTTAAGTAAATATTCCTCTGTTTAAGGAGGACAGGACTGTTGGTCTGTTGCTTGTGTTTCTTTTGGAGATTCAGATGGTTACAGCAGAGAAGGCTGACCGTGTTAAAGCAATGATGCACCTGGAATCCAGGCACCAGAACTGGAACCTGTTGCAGTAGCTCTGTATAGAATGTGACCCTTGCCACATCTCAGAGGGAAAAATGAACTGGGAAAGTCCCATCGTTCTTTCTGACCCCTCCTTCCCAGAACTTGCCACCATCATTCTGGCACTGAACAAATGAATAGTGCTCTTTTAAAAATGCCAAGGAAATATGAAACTTGTATAACTTAAATGAAATTTTAAAAAACCTGGAAACAACAACAAAATGCCGAGGAAACATGTGAGCTCCTATCTTGCATTCTTGGGCGGAGGTGTTTTTATTGAGGGTGTTTAAGGGGCCTTCTTAGACACTCAGGAATCTAAAATCTGCCCTTTTGGCTTGGGCGCCACAAGCATGCATATACAGAGTCCCCTTGTGGGAGCACAGCTGCTGATTCTCATTAGCGGTACGAGGGAGAGATGGCGGTGGGTCTTCCGCAGCTTTCAGGCTCGCGGCTGTAGCACTGTGTGCGCCTGAATGAGAATATCTTCAAACCAGAAATATTGGACTAGGAATCAGGAAGCCTGAGTTCATGTCCCACCCTTCTTCCAACACACTCTGAGCTGGGGCCAGGCTCCCGAAACGTTTCATACAAGTAGATTAAACCTAGACATCTACTGAGTACCGCTTTGAATTCGAAGATAAGTAAGGCATAACAACCCTGACCTCAAGTTTGATGTCGCATTTTTGTTTATTTTAAGTATCCAACTACTTAATATGTTTATAAAATGAATTGAAGACTGAGTGGGAAGCAGCCATTTTTTTTTTAATTTATTTATTTGAAAGGCAGAGTTACAGAGAGGCAGAGGCAGAGAGATTGGTCTTCCATCTGCTGGTTTACTCCCCAAATGGCTGCAATGGCTGGAGCTGGGCCAATCTGAAGCCAGAAGCCAGGAGCCTCTTCCTGTTCTCCCACAGGAATGCAGGAGCCCAAGGACTTGGGCCATCTTACACTGCTTTCCAAGGCCACAGCAGAGAGCTGGATCGGAAGTGGAGCAGCCAGGACTCCAACTAGCGCCCATATGGATTGCCTGCACTGCAGGCGGCAGCCTCACTGGCTACACCACAGCGCCAGCCCTTGGAGGCAGCGATTTTAATAGTTCCTTTCAAATGATGAGTAATTTTGCAAGAGGTGACAGTTTTTGCATACTGATCTGTACTGGTGAATGCCTTTTAAATTAATAATTTAGAATGATAACCAAGTTGTATCCTTGGTGTAATGATAAGGGATAGGAATTGAATATAGGTTGGTGGGGGGAAGAATCAATATAGTGTTCTGTTCACACAGTCGCTAAAAGCAGAAGGCTGTGAGAACTCAATTCAAGAAGTATCTAAAAGCCCACTATGTTTAAGGCACTGTGCTGGGTGTTGTGAGGGATAGGGAAATGAGTAAGTCCATGTTCCTGTCCTCAAAGTGCTTATGGTTGAACAGTGGGAGTAATTAAAGTACACAAATAACCATAATTGAAGACATGCCACAGTAGTCCCATAAGAAGGAGAAATTAATTATTGTGGGATTTCCAGAGAGGAAGAGATCATATCTTTTTTGGAGGAGATTGTGCCAGTAGATAATAGGCTTTGAAAATAAGTAGGATTCCACTGGGAGTGAGGAAGTCAAGGCTTTCCAAGGGCAGCACTGACAAACACGTAAAGGCAAGAAAGAAGGCACACGTTTCTCACAAGACAGGAGTTGCCCTCTTATCTGATGCAGTTAGGGCCATTAGTTGGTTAATTTAAAAAGTAAGTTAAAGCAGGGAATTGTAGGTATTAATTACATACATTTTTAGACATTTTCTTTTAGCTTAAAACATTGATGTCCCTTGCCATTCCTTTAACATAAGGCCTCAGTCTTTTCGTGAAGTATGTCCCAGGGATCAATATACTACAGCGAAATCTTATGCTGGCTGATGCCTATTTTTGCAAATAGGTTTTATTAGAACATGACCATGCTCATTTGTTTACATATTGTCTCTGACTACTTTTGTCCTACAAGGCAGAGCTGAGTAGTTGCAGCTGAAACCACATGGCCTACAACACTTAAAATGTTTACTATTTGGCTCTCTGTGTAAAGAGTTTGCCAACCCCTGAGCTACATCACCTATGGCTTCTTTAACATAGAGTGAATACTGAAAAGTCACTCACAAAGCAGTCTGAATGCAGCCCTTCAGGGTGTTTGGGAATTGTCTCCCAGCCTTTACAGCTGTCTCTCCCATACCTGTCAGCAGAGTGTATGTGATTGTGTGACTCACCTTTATCTAGTCTTCACAGAACATTGGACTTGGTTTCCATGGAAAAACTACAGAGAAGCTATGTAGTATAGCTCTGAAGCCAAACTGCTTTGCTGCTTATTGGTTGTGTAGGCCTTGGGCAAGTCACTCAGTTTCTTCCTTCATAAAATAGGGATAATGATAGTATCCCTTGCCTAGGATTCTTGTGAAGAGTATATGAGTTAATTCCTATAAAGCACTTAGAACAATGTCTGGCAGGTAGTAAGAACTTGATGTTAGCTATTGCTATCATTTTTCTCTTCTCAAAATTGGTTTAGTTAAGACTTAATTAGATTATAGATTTACAATAATAAGCTCAACTGGCATAGATTGGCTTGTGAACAAACACAACTAATACCCTTGGTATGCCCACACCTTCACCAAGGAGAACTGGAGTGTTACTCCCTTCATATTGGAGAATAATCTACCAGTGTGTGGTCAGCAAAGTTGGCTAAGAGAGTCCTGTGGGACTTTAAGGCCACAATACTTGTATGCAAGTAGTGGATTAAAACAGAGAAGAACTCCAAGGTCATATTTTCAAATACATTGAAGGCCAAGGTGACAAGTTTGTAGTTAGCCCAGTGGAAAATGGAAAATTTTTTTCTAAATGACATGACATAAAAAAAAAATCTCAAATGGCTTAGGAATATATGAAGTAAAAAGTAAAAGTGTTTTCCCACCTCCAGTCCACATGAGTTGCCTCTTCATTTTTCATTTTCCCATGTCCTAGAATATGAGTGTTGGATGAGATTAAGGCATATTAAAAACTACTTAGGGCACTGGTACTGATCTGTTAAAAACTTCAGTTTTCCTCAGATTATAATCTGGTTTTTTTAATTGATTCACTTATTTGAGGGAGAGAGAAATATTGATCTCTCATCTGTGGTTTACTCCGTGAATTCCCGCAATGGACAGCTGGGACCAGGCCCAGCCAAACCTGGGAGCCAGGAACTCAGTCCAGGTCTCCCACGTGGGTAACAGGAACCCAATTACTTAAGCCATCACTGCTGCCTCCCAGGGTCTTTGTTAGCAGGAAGCTGGAGTCAGGAGTCAGAGCCAGGTATTAAACCCAGGTACTCTGGTATGGAACGGAAGAAACTTGATCTAAGCTAAATGCTCACCTCTATTGTCTCAGTTTTGAATGGAGACAAATAAAGGTCCCAGTCTTAACGTGAATAAAATGAGATGACTGCTGTGAAGGCAACAATTTATATTATATGCTTGAAAGTCTGATCCTTAAAATTGTTCCTCTTATTTCCAACTTGCCTCGACTTCTGATTCCCCACCAAAACTACTCCAAGAGAAAAAGAT